AACTTGCTAACACTTTATATGACGTTCAGAGTTATATACTAATGCAGTACAGAATCTGGAAAATATGAAAGCTAAAACTTAAGGTGTCAGTTAGGTGGAGGAGATGTTACACAGCTCAGCTGCCCATGCAGAATTGGAATTCTTGGCACAGGACTTCATGGGAAGGATCCTGGCATGACCATGAGATACTGTCTTCTCTTCCCCTGGTTCTGTGCCACTCACCATGTGCATCACTCATGAGGAATGAGGCTGTGTGAAGAGAAACACAGCATCCCTGCTAGTATCCTCCTACTATTAAAATGATGGGTGCAGCCCAATGAGTGCCTTCAATCTCCTTGCAGTGGTTTCAGGCACTGTCAGGAAGGTCATGGAGGAAATTCTCCATTAGACACACTGTCTTCTTTCCCCTCCCCTGAAAAAGAAATGATTTTATTAACAAAGTTATCATTTTCTTTTATTTAATTATATCAATGAATGGGTAAGATTATAGAATATCCTTATTTTTCTAAATGCTGTAATTAGGGCACAAGTGGACTTGGCTGTTCAGTGGTCCAGCCAGGAGAAAGGTAAAGCTGCTGAGAGGACTATGAGCTGATGTTAAGGGCAGCCTCAGCAGTGCTGCCTTAAGCTGTCTCACAGGCTTCTAGATGGCCTTTCCATCCAACTTTTTACCAAAACCACTATTTCTAACACTATGCTGTAGCACTGCAGGACTTGAGGATCTCTCAGACCTTGCAGACCAGAAGCTCTGCATGGATACCTTGAGAACTGCTGCTAGGGATATTTCTCTGATTTATGCCATGGGTCACAGGCCAAAGCTGGGTTTAGCTTGTCTCAAGAAGCCAAGAAAAAGCCCCAAACAAGGTCTGGGACTTGGATTCAACCTTTTCACACATGATGCTTATGTGATTGAATTTTGAAGCTTGCACTGTTGTGAATCAGGTTTTCTGGATGCTTGTGTTTGTACATGCTGTCCTCTGTCAGACTGTAATGCTGGTGGGTCTGTTTTTAACCACTTTTCTAATTGCTAATTGGTATGAACTGTAACATGAATCACCTCAATTGAGATAAAATTTTGGAAAACAAAAAGAAGTTTAACTATGTCCATTTGTACCAAGTTGGTGGGGCTGGTGGTTCAGGGAGATTTGGGGCTTTTCTTACCCTGGTCTTCACTAAATCAGGGTGGAGATTGTTGTTTTATTTAAAGCTTGCAGCCTGCAGTTTTTAGGTATATTTTAAAAGGAAAAACTGGCAGTAACTTCACTCTTGTTTGCCGTGGTGGCAGAGAATCCCACTGGATTGAGGATTGTCCTGCCTTAGGTCCTGACAGCAGAGAGTAGCTGTGCCTCAGGGCTGGCCAGGAAAAGCCGTGTCCAGGTGGATCCCAATGTTGTGTCAGCCCCAAGGAGTGGGGACCACGCACACCTGTAGGGTCGTGGCCCTATTTCTACTGACATTCGCCCCAAAAAAGGTTTATCAACACTGAGTCTGGGGATTTGCTAGTCCATGCTGCTCTCAAAAGACACACACTTCAAGAATGTAGTGGATGAGCAAGAGGAGCCTGTTCTCAGCTTCCCTTGGGCTCTCCAGAAGGTCCTTCTGACTGTCCCCACTGTCCCCATGGTTCCCTTTTCCAGATGGCATTGACAGCAAGGACGTGGATGGAGTAGATGTTTGTGGCTATGGGAAGGCCAGGAGTGGAACATGTGAGACTCATTTAGGAGCCTGCCTTGCCCCACATCACCCTCTTTGCCCCAAATAATGTTTTTCATTCCCTTTCCATTGTTACCACATAAACCATAGATGCCTTATGCCATTGGGCATCACTAGCAGTGGCCAACCCACACAGCATGGCTTGAGGGTTGAGAGGGACTTCACTTCCCTCCTTTTGCAATAAAAGACATTTTCCCAATGCTGTTCCTTTGACTTCTTCCTTGGGTGTATGACTTGGCTGATGACCACATGGGGGATGAAGCTGGCACTGCTGAAGACCTTCAGGCAAGCTGGCAACTTAGAGCCCTCACAGCCTTGCAGGAGATCCTCAGCGATACAGAAGTCCTCCTAGAATTGGAGCTTTGGGTTTGAGTTTGATTTACATCCTCACAAAACCTGGTGCTGTATGTAGACTGCGTGTCTGAGGCTCACCATGGGCATGGGGGCAGTGAGTGGGGTCAGCTCTGTGCTGGGTCTCAGCTACACAGCCGTGCTTGAAGACACATCCACAGCTGTGCATTGCACAGGGAGGAGTGTTAGTGGCAAAATCCAAACCCCAGAGGAGCTACAGCAGGAGCCCAATTTGTTGCAAACTGGATTTCAAGGAGGTGCCTGTGGGTGATAGCAGAGCAGTGGCTGCTGGCCCAGGAGACCTGAGCTGTGAGCGTGTCCACGCCTGCCTGAAATCACAGCTTTGATTAAAAGTAAGAAAAAGCCAACAGGCAGGCAGAGCCCGAGGCTGGGGGTGACTGTGGTGAAAGGACAAACTGACAGCAGCAGAGCTCCTTTGGGCACATGGCCAGGCTGGTAGCCTCAGGAAAAAGCACAGCCTCCTCAATGCAGGCAGGAGCTGCCAGCCTGAAGGTGCCAGGAGAGCCATGAAGATGGTTTGTGCTGACACAAAACCCCAGAGGCCAAGTAAAGAAAAACAGATTTTTATTTGTTTGGGTTTTTTGTTTTGCCTGTAGGGCTGGGTGTTTTTCAGCTCAGCAGTCATCAAAGAGGGCAGTAAACTTCCCCTGCCAAAAAACAGGCAGCCTGTGGTGAGCCAGGTTCTGTAGGAGTCTCATGTCACCAGCACCTCCAGCAAACAGCACGTGCACAGCACTGGGAGTGTAAAAAATCAACCAGGACTGAAGCTTAGCAAGGCAAACAAGATGTCCCTCCAACAGCACACATCCCAAATGTGGCAGGGGCATGGAGAGGTGGCTGTGGTGCCACCTGCTCACAGGATGCCTCCAGCACCTGTCCCCTGTGGCTTCCTGTGGCTCAGCTGGGCAGCAGGGAAAGCACTGAGGGACAGATTGGAAGGGGATGGGGGGGGACATTTTTGCAGCCATGGGACCAGACATCCCATATCACCCCCAGGGTTTGAAGGAAGTCTCAGTGTTGTCTGTTTTTCTCCCCATCAGCCTGGGGTGCAGGTGGGTGGCAGAGCTGTGTGCATGCCGAGCACATGGATCACAGGGGCAGAGGTACTGTATGAGGGTGATGGAGTCTGGCTCTCTCCTCTCTCAGCACTGTGGGCATGAGCTTTGCAGGAAAGCTTTTTTTAGTGCAGGAACAACATCCAGAGGAATTTTGCTGGGCCGCCCTGGGACCCTCTGGTTCCCCCAGGACGAATATGGGGAACCATTTGGAGCTTTGTGGCCGAAAATGTAGAAACACTTTCTCAGACTTGGGGGAGATGCCACATTGGAAACTACCTGGGAGAAGGCCCGTGGTAAGGATTCAGTGGTGTCCTGTTAACCCTGAGCTCAGCTGCCAGACTGAACATTGCTTTCCCTTTCACATCCCTGCATCAAGGCTGGTTTTCCCTCTCCACTGGCACCCCAGCTATAGCATTACTGCAATTCCAGCTGCTTTCAGGGGCATCTAAAAGATGTTCTGGCTCATCCCACTTGACACTGCTGTTGTGTCCACACAGGGTCCTCGTGGCACAAAGGACAAACTGATGGATAACAGGTTTTAGCCAGTTTTGGATCTGCTTCCTCTGGGCACCAAACAAGCTCTCAACTGAGTACAATGTTCTCCAGACCCATTTTGTTTAATTTTGTATGGAGCAGCCCATGGGCAAACCCCTAAAAAACAAAGCTTTCTCTTGCCTGGGCTTACACACAACTTCACCTCCCAGGTGCCCACTGGAAGTGTGCTGGAGCCAGCAAAGTGATTTGTCTCTCATTTTGGGAAGGCACATTGCAGCCCAGAGACCCTTGAACTCTCTTAAACTTCTTAGTCGTGTCAACCTAAAATTTCTTGTTGCTTAAAAACAGCAGGAAACATTGGACCAAGAGTGGAAAGTGTTTCACAGCTTGCCTGGTTACCCCAAGCCTTCAGGAGCTGCTGGGACACCTTCATTCTGGAGAGATCACTTCTGTGATGGGCGGAAGGATACAGAAGGATCCACCTGTCATGGACAGGGATCTCCATTAACACAGGATGGGAAAACATCCTCAGTGGGGAAACTGAGGCAGCCTGGTACTCAGGCTGGTTTGTTAATTGTCTGAACTCTCTGAGGAGGCCATATTCTCTCCTGGCACCTGACAGATTACACCTTTGTCCTAAACATGGTCCTAAAACACACATGGAGCCGACTATGTATGAACTTCTGCATGACTTGGTACTAGGATTTAATCTTGATTGCCATGAGATGTCACCACATTTTATAGGCTTACCTGAACACAGACCATGGACATGGTTCTCAGTCCATTTATAAATGGACTGAGAACTCAGTCTAATTTATAAAAGGGGGAAAACAGCTGCCACAGCACTAGCAAGTGCTGTAGCTTCCTTGCTGCTCAGATAGCTCGGGCCATGGGATAAGCAGGATGAATACTGAGTGCCTTCCTCTTCAGGATAACCACAGACTGCTTTCTGTAAAAAAAAAAAAGTACTTTGCTGCAGCTGCCTCTTTCACTAAGCACATGAAATTTTCAATGTCCCAGGGGATCATCTGTGAAACTGGGTAACAAAGGAGACCATGTAATTGCCTTTAGACAAAGGAAGCATGCAAGGCAGGTCTTGGTGGGAAAAGATTATGAGCAGCGACTGTGTTTCTGTCCATTACACTTGTCACAATGCAGTAACAAAGACACCCATCCAATACATTTTAATAAATTATTGTAGAACAATTGCCACACAGAACAGAGGTCTCAGCGTTTCCTTCAAATTGCACTCTAAAATATTGCTGCATTAGAAATTATGAAAATTCCCATTTTAATATTAAAACACATTATTAAAGCTATACTAGTGGCTTTAATAATGTGTTTACATTATTAAAGCCACTAGTAAACTAATCACCAATTGCACAGCTGAAGAGGAGCCTGTTAGGAAACCCAGAGGAAATAGGCAACTTCGTCCAGGTCAACGGGATAGTCGGTGAGCAGCACTGGGGTCTTCTCAAAGAGCTCCCCCTTGTAGCTGCGCCACTTGCCCGCTGGCAGGTAGACATCGCGCTCCTGCTTGCCCATCTCCAGCACAGGAGCCACCATCAGGGTGTCCCCGATGAGGAACTGGGAGTCGATGCGGTGAGTGGCCTCGTCGCGGGGCGAGATCCACCAGATGGGGCGGATGATGGGGTCGCCCATGTCGGTGACCTCCCCCGCCAGCTCCAGCAGCAGCGGGGCCACCAGGGACTCGTGGAGCTGCGTGAACTTCTGGGCGATCTCCACCACCTCCTTGTCGTAGAGCCACGGCGGGATGGAGAACTGCATGGAGGGCATGAAGGCCGACAGCTCCAGCCAGCGCACGTACAGCTCTCGGTTGGGGATCTCCACCGCCCCCTCCGTCTTGTTGGGGAGGAAGTTTCCTCCAATCATATCTGGCAGTACAAAGGGGTAGCCCAGCATGCTGATGGTGAGGACGGTGGGGATGAGGGACTTGAGGCCCAGCTCGTAGCCCCAGACAGAGTCGCGGTCAATGATGCGGAAGAAGCAGGATATGTTCTGGGACTGGTAGCCCACACGCACCTCGGCCAGCTCGTAGAAGGGGATGGCCATCTCCGTGTAGCGCCGGGACCAGATGCTGGGGTCCAACAGCGGGCAGAAGGTGCTGAACTGCTTGGGCAGGTAGCTGGTCTCGCCCGCGTCAAACTTGAAGGACGAGATGCCGTACTTGTGCCGCAGCTGGCGCAGGTGGCTCTGGAACCAGTCACGGGCTGCTGGGTTGGTGAAGTCCAGGATGGCCCCAATGCCGTTCCACCACTCCACCATGGCCGGCAGCCGCCCCGAGGGCTCCTTGATGAACAGCTGACGCTCAATCCCCACTTCATAATTGGGTGAATCTACGTGTGTAAATGGATGAATCCACAGAGTGACCTTAAAGCCATCTTCCCTCAGCTTTGCAAACATCTCTGTTACATTGGGGAACTTGACAGGGTCAAAGTCAAAGTCTCCGTAGGCCTGGGTGTACATGTCATCAATCTCTATGTGGCTGCAGTTAAAATGGTACTTCTTAATGTCTCTTGCAAAATTTAGAACTTTATCCTGGTTTATGTCTTTTTTGTAGACGGCCCACGTGGACCATATGGGGTAGCGGAAGGCGTTCTCAGCGGGGATCTTGGAGGGCTTGTTGAAGTACCTGCGCACCATGTACTTGTGGATGGAGGTGATGTCGGAGCCCACGCAGACGCGGTAGCTGAGCTCGGGGAAGGGCTGCTGGCCCGGCGGGGGCTTGTAGGGCGAGTCCTTGTAGCGGGCCTGGAAGAAGAGGGCGCGCTCGGTGGCGTTGAAGCCCAGGTGGAAGGGCACGGAGTCGTTGATCTTGATGGCCGCCGCCTTGGAGGAGAGCCAGTAGCGCTCGAGGATGCCGCCAAAGCTGTCACGGAAGGAGTAGACATCGCTGGTGACGTAGGGCACGGGCTCCTGGTAGCCGGCCAGGCGGATGGGCCAGTGCTGGATGCTCATCTCCGAGCCCCCGTACCAGTGGGCGTCCTCCCAGAACATGGTGTGCTCCACAGCCGGGCCGGCCGCCAGCTCCTCCCAGCGCACGCGGTAGCACATCACCGTGTCCTTGGGCTTCACCGTCTGGATGAAGAAGTTGAGCGGGCCCCGGCTGGAGCGCGAGCAGCTCAGGATCTCGCCCTCCTTGGAGCACGACTCCAGGTCCAGGCTGCCCGAACGGAAAGCCAGCCGGAACACCACCTCGCCGTGCTGGTTGCGGATGACGAAGCCGTCCGCCCGCAGGTCCATCAGCTCCGTCTTGAGCCACTCCGCCTTCCGCAGGGACACCGTGTAGTAGCACCAGGCCACCACCGCAGCAATGAACAGGATGAAGCCCAGCAGGATGGCACCCAACATGGGCCTCAGCTCCTTGGAGGGCTTCACTGGTGTTACCTTGTCAGTCAAGTGCCCTTCTTTGGCACCCTCCTTTGGAAAGTTTCCATGTTTTCCCAAGCGGTGGGTAATCCGAGTGTCCATTATCCCTTTGCAGCCTCAACACCTGGTTAGCAACTTTGTTGCTGAATCCTTTTACTCCAGCTGGTGAAGAGAAAATCCAAGATGTTGCATGAAGCTATTCTCAATGTCCTTTCCAAAGCTTGGCTGCTCACACCTGCAATGGTTTTTCATAAAACAGAGAGTCATAAACACCAAAAAACCCAATTAAATCTTGCTGAGGGCCGCAGCTCCTCTGCTCTGTCTGCAGCCTCCCTGCCCTCTGTCTCTGGCTCACTTTGCTCTGCAGTGGCAGCCTGCTCACTGACAGCTGTGTTGAGCTTTTTTGGAGCATGTCTGTGCCAGGATTCCTATGACCCTCTCTTGGCTGCAACCTCGCTCTGTCCCACAGAGCAAGGATGAAGGGATGAAAGTCAGACTAGAGCCTGGAGGGGCCAGGGCAAGGGGCTGGTGCCTGAGCATACAAGCTGGACATCACAGGCTGATCTGTGTTTACATTAATTATGAGCCCTGCTGGATTTCCTCTCCTGCCCACAACCTCCCTGCATCAAACACAGGCAGAGAAATGCTGCGCTGAATTTTCCCGCCCCCACCTGCTGCTCCCCACCAGACTCCCAGGGATGCAGCTGGCAAAAGATGTTTTATCTCCCTGCACTTTGCTCCTTCCCTGAACTGCATGGGGATGTGGGGGTGTGGGGATGTGTTTTTCTTTCCCTTCAACTGCCTGCCCTGCTACCTATTCCAAAGCCATCAACTCAGGAAAGCCCCTCTGGCTCTTGCAGGGGAAAAAGGGAATCTTCCACTACATCTCTGTCTCTGTTTTTTTATTATCACTCAGTTCTCCTAATTTATTACAACTCCGTAGCTGCTGGGCTTATGCCAGGCAAGATGCTGTACTGCAGTGGAACTGGAAGATGTTTTGGTACACAGTATGAGGATAAGTGTATTAAATTGAAGTTGTTGCAAGACCAGGACTACATCAAAACCTTGTTTTGCTGAGAAATGCACAGAAGGTGACATGTTCCATCTGCATCAAGCATCACCAAGCCAGCTAATGCAGCACAGCTGATTATCTATTGCCAACAATAACACAGGCAGGAGAAACTGAGGCTGCAGGCTTGAGGCAGTGTATTCTGTGCAACCAGGTTTGTGGCTCCCCTGGCCCCTTCCTGGGATCTGTGTGATCTGACAGGATGAAAACTTGCAGGAGCAGCCTATATGGAGAGAGGGAAAAGGAGCCAGCTTGCTCATCTGATCTGTGCCCAGCAATAAAAGGCTGGGTGTATTTACCCATATCACTATGACATCGGTGTCTAAATATACAGAGATGATAAGCCACCCAGGGAGCCATTAAAAATGCCAGAGGTCAACACATTTTGGATCGATCACAGCAGATCCCAAACCACCCAAATTAACTGCCTGGTTAGTTTTTGGAGTACATTCTTGGGATGAGAGAGAAAAAGAGCTGGAGTGGATAAAAGTGTTCTCAGGCAAGGCCTGGCCAGGGCAGAAGGGTAAGAAAAGGAAGGTTATTGCTGCCCCAAAGAGATGGTGATCCAGGACAGGGGTGGTTTTGGGGAGCAGGTTGGATTACACATGCTCAGGGCACTCTGCCAGCCCCAAAGTGCTCAGAGCTGGCAGCCTCCCAGTGCTGGCCTGGCTCCTGACACGGCTCTGCAGCTCTGGCCCGGGTGGTTTCCAGCGAAACCCTCGTGTTTTTGCAAAACAACATTTTCACTTTGAAGGTGTTATTGTGTGCTGGGTCAGTCCTCAGTTGCTGACTGAGGAGCTTTCTTCCTCTTCTTCCTTCCTCCTTTCACTGTCCCAGCAGCCTGGGGACAGGACTTCCCTTTATGACAAGTTGCACCATTTTCCAGGGTGAAAAAATAAGAAATGGAAAGAGAAGGTTTTCTTCTTTCTTCTTTCTTCTTTCTTCTTTCTTCTTTCTTTTTTCTTCTTTCTTTTTTCTTCTTTCTTCTTTCTTTTTTCTTCTTTCTTCTTTCTTCTTTCTTCTTTCTTCTTTCTTCTTTCTTCTTTCTTCTTTCTTCTTTCTTTTTTCTTCTTTCTTTTTTTCTTCTGTCTTTTTTCTTCTTTTTTTCTTTTTTCTCTTTCTTTTTTCTTTTTTTTTTTATATTAAGCAACACATTAAAAACCCCAAAACACATGGACATCATGACTCAAAAATCTGTCCAAGAATAAAGGATGTGAGGGAAGTTTGCAAGCTTTCTATGCAGTGATTTGATTCCCAGTGAGTTGCTTTAAATCCCTTGATTTCCCCAGGAGCAGAAGATCAGGGGCAGAAAAATCATATACAAGCAAGCTGGAACTCCTGAGCCAAGCCATCCTGTCTCCAGGGGTTTTTGGGTTTTCCTCACTCCTATGATGTTGTGGGATGCCATATATATACCCCAGCCCTTCCCCTCACAGAGAAGAGGTGAGATGTGAGTGGTCAGTGGGGACAGCAGGCACTGGTGCTCCTGGAGGCAGCAGAGGATGAAATTGGGATTCCTAGCATAGATTCCACCAGGGTAGAAGAGTTTCTGAAGCTGCACTCCCATCCTTTAAAGCTTATGTCTCCAGAAAGCATTAAACATCTGCTGGCCTATCTGTGAGCCTGAGTGATGCCCAGGGCTGATGAGAAGCACTTTTGCTAAGGGATGCACAGAGGTGATCCAGAGCCCAGACCCAGCGCTATCCTTGCTCCATCCATGGGGTTATGGCATCACAGAGACCCTTGTCTGGGAATATTTAGCTGGTCCTTGCAGAGCCTCTGTGCTCTGGTGAGTGCTTTGTTAACCCCCCCAGAGTGCAAGTGCTCCCAAGGCAGGCTCTGCTGAATTCTCCCACAGTGCCCTGGAAGCCAGATGTCCCTGGGACACCAGCACTGCTGTGTTATATTTGGACTGCTTTATCAGGTGCTAATCTGGTATGGATCTGGGCCTGTCTGTTGCCCAGGCTGAAAGAAGCCAGGATTCTTCACCCCAAGGATCTTAGCAGCACCTAGCATGCACAGATTAAACATTGACATAGCTGTGATAAGCCGAAAATGAGCCAGGACTTCAGACCCTCTTATAGCTGAACGGGAGCTTCAAGGGTTTCAAGTGACGAAACACAAATCAGCCAGCTCAAAGGGCAGCTGCACACCTAAAACCCTTGTGCACCAACCCTCAGAGTCTCCTTCCCCCAGACCAAATTTATCCTTAGAACCTCTCCCAGTCTCCTGGCACCTGTGTCACAAAGTTTGTCAGGCCTCTATTCAGGAATCACAGCTATGTGATTCCTGAATCCTCAGATTTTCAGCATTCTAAGACTCTGAGGCTACCTCAGTTGGTGCTAAGAGCACCAAGATCATTATTTTGATCCCTGTATGGGCCACACACTTAAGAATTGGACTAAAGGATGATCCCTGAGAGTCACATCCAATTCAGAATAGTCTGTGATTCTGTATATGTTTACCTTCCTGGTGGTTCAGGGAGAGCATCACTCTTTAAAGAACCCATCAGGAAACAATTCTTCCTTTAAACAGAACGGCAGTTTTCTATATTGACGTTCGTTTTACAGGTTATCAAACACTTAGTCACTATCAGGTGCTTTTAGGGAGATTATACAACATGTCCTAGCAGAAAGAGCCATAGGTAGCTAAACATAATAAGCCATAAACAAACTACCACCCTGTCAAATGCTGCAAGAACTGATTAATCATTTACCAAGCCCTTTTAGACTGTTTAAAATGGACCTTTTTCGCAGAAAAGTCATGCAAAGTAGAAAGCAGTTCCCATTAGCTCTCATTTCCCGCAGCAGCTTGACAAATAAGGGTGGTGTATGGGGGATTTATTGACAATAAAGGCACTCAGGGGAGGTTTGCTCACCGTTTTTTTCTGTGCATATAGATGGGGTGAGAAAAGAGCTATCTGCTGCCTCTGCAGCTGAGGAGGGAGAGCCAAGGTTATTGCATGAGCTGCCACAGATTAGCTGCAAGCACGACAAGGCTTAGCACAAGGTGGAATGGCTGGGGGTGGTTGCAGAGGGTGAAGTGACATTGCTCTGCAGTCCATGTGGAGCAGGTAGGGACAACAAAATCTCTGCCAGCAGCACACAGCGCTTACAGAACACCTGCAGCAGCACGAACAGGGGAGAGAAAGGACACAGTCAGAACCGGTCCCTCAGAGCGGTGCAGGATCCTGCTCCACCTGGAAGCACACTCATTTGTGTCCTGGAGCAGGGAGGATACAGCCCTAATGCTGAGTGCACCCTTCACCCCATGTCTGGGCTTTTAGAAGTGCCCAATAGCTCCAGGGATGGATGGGATGACTCCCTCACTGCTTCAACCCTTGGCCCGTGGGGATCTCACCCAGCTCCTTGGGCTGGAGCAGCAGTTTGGTTCATATTAACCCCGTGCCAGCCACAGAGCCCAACCAGCTGTGAGGCCTGTGCCTGTACCCTGCACATGTCTGGTGGTGTGAGCTTCACCAGCTCACACCACCAGACAACTCTGAGCAGGCCTATTTCTGGAAACCATCCTGATTTGGGGGACTCTGCCCTGCTCCCCATGGTTCCTGATGCCTGGGGGGTTTTTGTCCCCCCTCAGTGTGAAGGTGGCTGCACAGACATTGCTGGGTTCTGCCTGTACAGAGTGCTGCTGCAAAGCTGATTACCCTGTGCAAGCCTGACAGTGTCATAAACCCTTGGAGCCTTGCAAAGCCAGCTCAGGTCTGGAGCAGTAACATTACCTGAGGTTTTTCCTAATCCACAGCATTCCAGTCCCTCAGTACTGGGGTAAAAAAGGTAGAGTTTGCTGCACAGGTCTTTCATTCCTAATTGCTACGGGAATAGGATCTGGAAGATCCATTCCTGTCTTCTTGTTCAAACTCCTCCTCTGAAGCTGACAGAAAAAAAGTCTTGCAAAATCAACTTTTTTTCCCTGTTCCAGGTCTCTCTCTGACGCCTCAAGATGCACACAGTGTCCATGCACTGCTCCCAGCTGCCAGCAGTGGCCACAGCATCCCTCTGCGGTCTGGGAGCTGCTCTGCCCATATCCTTGGGAAGGAGCTCCATCTGCCGAGCCAGTGGCCCAGGCTGAAACCCAGGGACCACTGCCAGGCCTGTCCCAGGCTGTGGGGTGACTGGTCATCAGGCATCTCCCAGGTGGCACCGAGCTCATCAGACCCTATTTACCAGGATCAGTCCTTGTGAGGAGCTCCAGGAGAATTTTGAGGTGCCTTCCCCTCAAACAAACCAAACAAAGAGGGATAAGCAAAGCACAGGTGAGGGCAGAAAAGGTCCTTGTGTGCCACAGCTGCCACCATGTGAGCAGTCTGGGAGACTGTGGAAATACAGGAAAATGGGGGAAAAAAACGGTGCTGTCATCTCAGTCTGCTTTGAATGAAGTCAGCGGGCTGAGCTCATGCCAGGTGAAGGAATGAGCCAGGTACTCACCTGGGGCTCAGCTGGGCTTTCTCCCACTTAGACCCAGGCTCAGCTGGCAGCTCCTCTGAGAGACAAAGCTCCTGGGAGCTGCCTGCAATAGCAAAGAGATGAAGAGGCTCAGTTCTTGAAGGCTTTTCTTGGAGGGGAACTGCTCTTGCTTGCTATTTTCTTGTGACAATGAGTTAGAGCTGCCATGAGGGCAGGACAAGGTGGGTCCTTGAGGGATGCTTCAGGCCCTGCATGGGTGAAGCCAAGTGCCTGCCAGGGTGAGGGGTCCTGGGCAATGCAGCTCCTGCCGGCACCTGTGGGACTTCTTGTGGAATTATGCTCCCACAGTGGGAGATGAGGCTCTCAGGCTGAGTGCATCTGCTCTGGGCTCCCCACAGACTCAGTCTGCTGCTCAGTCTGCTGTTACTTTATCCCAGACCAGCTCCACTTCCCAGCCATGGGAGTACTTTGGCATGTAAAAATTTATTTTTCCTTCTGCACTCCTTCTTGGAGATACAGGGTCTTTACTGTAGTTATTTTCTTAAACATCTGATGCCATTTGATCTCTATGATCAAAGGTTCCAATGCAGGGAAAACCTGCCAAAGGCCAGAGAGCTGAAAAGAAAGCCAATGAGCATTTTCACCCAGCCCAAAGTATGCTACCTTTGAAGAGAGGAGGATTTCACCTCTAAAATACTGAACAAACTCCCCAGAACCCCAGTCCTCCTCACTCTGCAGATACAGCATGAATTTTGCCATTTATTTTCTGGGATAACACTAAGGGTAAAGAATTGAGCTCAGATTTTAAGCCTCTTCCTGATGTCTCCAGTTCAGGCTACAAGGCTGGGGTGAAAGCGTAACAGCTTGTGCTGTCCCTGAGCATCCCACAGGTTTAGGGCTAGCAAAATATTTGTCTCCACTACCTCTGCCAGCTGGAAAGCAGCGCCTGTCCCACACCAGACAGGGCTGCAGTTGGTGTGTGGTCAGTGACCCCTGTGTGTGAAGGTGTGGTGGCCAGCACAATCTGGAGATGAAGTTTCACTTGATCATTACTTCACTCTGATTAAATTCACCATGAGCTGCAGCGTGATGAGAAAAAGCAATGCACCCATCAGACTGATGATGGAGACAAGAACAAGGCTGCTCCATGGAACTTGGGCTGGCAAGGACTAACTGATGTGGAAATTACGTGACCGAGGGTCAGCAATTACAGGACTCTCCTGCTCCAGATGAGAGAGGCCACAGCTGGAAAATAACTTGCTCTGTTCTAGGGACATCCCAGGAAAAGCTGTGAAAACAATTTGAAGAAAGTCTCTGTATGCATGAGGCTAGGCCATTCCCTAAGAAAGCCAGTGTGGTGGGGAAGAATGAACTCTGAAGCTATAGAGCAATTTCATATGCAAGTATTTTCTTGTACCTATAAGAAATCAGGCCTAAGTGGGGTCCTGAAACCCTAAAACATTAGGGTTTCATCACATCTCAGTGGCTAATGTTCAACTGATTCTTTTTTGGTCTGTGCTGACAGGTTGCTTTTAGACTGACCACTTTTCTCCAGGGCTTAAATATGGCATTGGTTCCTGGTGTGGGCTCTCCTCAGTCTGGTGCCAAGGAGATGCAGTGAAGAGTGTTTGCATTTTCAGTCCCAGTCAAGTAGCGGAGAACTTAACATCTGCATTTTTTTTAAATTAAAATTGCCTGTAACTTACCACAGTTTGACCTGTTCCCATGGGGGGAAACCCCATAGTAATCACAAAGAAATCAGCTGGTATTTTTCTTATGCACAGGGCTACAGTCAGACAAGACCAACCTCACCAGGGCAAGAATTTACCTCAGACTTCCCCTTTGGTTTATGAATATCCTTTACTATATTCACATCTCATTTGAAGCCAGGTTATTCCCCTGATAGTGGGAAAGCTGGGAACCGTCTTCCCAGAGCTGCACAAAGAGGGAGCTGCACCATTGCAAGGCCCTGACCTGAGACCATGCCCTTGCATGGACCCCAGTACTGCGCCGTTTTTATTTTACACCATTTTTATTTGGCAGCTTGGCCACTAAAGGAAGCAACTCCCAGCTCTCCAGCTGACTCCTGGTCTCATGGGCAGAGCTGGGAGGTGTGACATTGGCGCCATTCAGGACCTCAAAGGTGAAATTGAACCCATCATTTTTTAAGTGTCTTTGTGCAAAAGGCTTAATGGTTTATTAAAGTGAGAATGACCTCAGCAAACATATGAGACAGACAAGAGCTGAGAGGATGTGGCTGAATGGGAACACCTTGCTAGCAAAATTGTAACTCTCACTTGCCCTGCCACTGTTCACCTGTCAGCCTTTGCTGCTTCTCCTCTGGGAGGGATGTGAGGTTTCCTCCCCATGCAGAGCCCAAAGTGATGCATGAAAAGTCAAATTCAACCCAAGCACCCTCAGGATGATGATCAGGGTAAACCCACAGCAGGAGCCTGCTCCCCCGTCCAGGAGCTCAACTCCCCCTTCCATCTCTCTCCTAGGCTCTAGGACAGCCACAGCTGGTTTGTGAGGCTTTATCTCTGCCATGAGCTATAACTCTGCCTAAAATCCCCCTGGCAGGAATAATTCTCTCTAAAGAGAGACCGACCCTGTGACAGCATGGCCAAGCGCAGGCTTTCAGCTGGCACATCCCACGCCCCTCTGAGCACTCCTGCTGAACTTTGCTTTTTTTTGCCAGGCCAGCCCTGCATCCCCCTGTGCTCCCAGCCCTGGCAAAGGCAGGGCCAGCCTGCTTGGCATGCTGTGTCACTGCTGGGAGCAATCCCTGCTGCTAGGCAGCCGAGCCCGGCGGCCGCGAGCATCCCGGTCCAGCGTCCCCCTTGGCCTGGCTCGTCATATGATTTCTCCTAAGGGACAACTGCTGAGCAGGACTGTGTCTCCGAGCTGATCCTTTGCTGATAAGCCAGCTGCCAAGCCTCCACTGCTGAGACAAAAGAGTTTTTCTCTTCCCAGCAGGGTTTTTCTGCTGTGAATGACAGAGAAAGGAGTAAAAGTGAGCTGCCTGGCACTCCTCGTGGGCGAGAGGCTTTGGGGGCTCCTTGTCCCCCGCTGTGCTGGCAGACCATGGAGCTCTTCAGGCTGAGCCTGGGCTGCATTTGCCTCCTTCCTTGGCTTGAGGGTAAGTTTCTCCTCTTTTGGGGTAGCTGTTAAGTGGGAAGAGAGCTGCCTCCCAGGTTTTAACCTGCTTTCCTACTGAACTGCTGCTTGGGCTGCAAAGCTCAAGAACCCACCAGCTGTAGAACAAGTGCCAACAGGCACAATCAGGGCAGCATTTAAATGGGATTGAACACAGGGGTACAGAAGAGTGAGGGACAGGCTGGCAAGGTGCTGGGATGGCTGGGCCAGGGACACCGTGGCATCATGCTGGCAGCTTTTATGAAGTGCTTTTAAGCTGCTGAGAGTAGAGGATGAATAAACCTGCTCAGGGGGGGAGGCAGGCACTAAGTGACCTCCTAAGCACTAATGTTCCTCCCGGTCCCAGCTGCTCCTTCCCAGCAGAGGTGAGTGAGCTCAGAGCATGCTAGCAGCATGGCAGAGGGTGGTGGGAAGTGCAGAAGTATTTGTCCTGCTCCTGTGGTGGTCGGCTGGGAGCAGGATGTGCTGGGGAGCTGCAGAGTCTGCACTGCTCATCTCCATGGAGCAAACTTGGTAGCAGCTCGTGTTGATATTCACTGCTTTCTGGGGTCGCTCCAACCCTGTATCCTGCCCATGCACAGCAGTATTTCGAATCCAAGCAGCCCTGGTTTGATGTGCTTGGGTAGATGCAAAAAGCAGAAGTCCCTGCTGAGCATCATCCCAGAGATCTGGGGCAGTGCTACCCAGGAACAGCTTCCCAGGAATGGTGCTACCATGGTATCACTAATCCCATCATGGACATCAGGAGGAATCAATTTTCTTTAAAAATTGAAAAAGTCCCTGAGTTAATAAGCCTTTTTATTTTGCTGCTATGCCTGAGACATCAAGTTGAAAGTGACTTATTTATAAAAATCACTGAAGTTCTTCAAGGCTCCTTCAGTCCCTGAAGCAGCAAAGAGAACAGCCCTGCAGTTTTACAGGTTACATGCTCAGAGCTGTTCAAAATCCATCGACCAGAGGACCACAACTATTTGGGCTGCCCAAATAGTTTATTGGGATGTTTATTCCTTAAAGACAAACCTCAGACTGGTGCCTCTGACCAGACACTTTCCATCCCTTGCTGCACAAGCAAGCATTCCCTAGGGTGCTTTGAGAAGTTACCTTCTCAATTTGCTCTGCATCTGGATAAGAGGAGAGGTTTGTGCTCCTAAAGGTTTGACTTCTGCTCCATCTACTGCTGTTTTCTGCACATCAAAATCTGCCAATTAAAGTGAACTGAATCTCTCACTTGGGTAAGCCCCAGGCTGAGGTTATGTCTCTGTAGTGGTAGGGGGTGATGATGCACATGCATCTTTTAAAAGTTAGAGGAGATTTGGTTAGGACCTGGAGATTATACCATGATGGCATGCAGAGAGCAGAACAGCCTTCAGGGTGTTGCTCTTCCTTAGCCTCTAAAGTAGCATCTTGTCTGGTGTTAGAATAAAGTGATTTTTTACTGCTGCCATACAACCCAATCCACATGGTTTTGTTTTATTAGTAAAGTATGGAGGATCACAGGGTATTTAATTTCCTTTCTAGCGTAATGCTTTTGGTGGAAACATGATCAGCCACTGCATTTCAGCCAAACCAGTAATAAAACAATAAAACCACCACTGTTTTGCAGAAAGGAATTCATCTTCCCAATGCCTGGCAATGCCCAATGAAGCTAAAAGCACAGAGCACAAACATGTTCATGCTTGGGGCTGAAATCCCACTGTGGCAGCTTTTCCCTTCCCCTCCTGAGTTTTAAGGCTGCTGGCAGGACAGTGATGCATGCTCTCACCAGACCTCTGAGGGGTTAGTTTCCTGCTGAAAACTGGAAATCCTGGAATTTCCTAAGCCGGTCCTGACAGTTGCTCCTTTGGAAAGCACCTGCAAGCAGAGAGGAGGCAAAACTTAGTTAGATGTCAGAAAAAAATTCTTCACTGAGAGAGTGATTGGGCAATGGAATGGGCTGCCCAGGAAGGTGGTGGAGTCACCATCCCGGGAGGTGTTTAAAAAATGACTGGATGTGGCACTCAATGCCATGGTTTAGTTGATGAGGAAGTGTTAGGTTAGGTCACAGGTTGGACTTGATGATCTCAAAGATCATTTCCAATCTAGTTCACCCTGTGATTCTGTAAAAAGTTTTGTTAAAAAGCCTAATGGTGACCCTGTGAGATGCAATGGGCAGCGGGAAGTCAGGCACCAGCAGGATCTGTGCCTACATGTACAGAAAGAAAACTGCTGAAATAAAACTGCATTTAACACTGATCTGGACCCCCATGCACTGGGTGTGAGGCTGTGGGGGATGTGTTTGGCATCTTGGCCTGATCCCATATCTTGGGAGCCAATCTCCTCTCCCTCAAATCCATGGTAGTGCTGGCCCTGACCCCTGATGCCCTGACCTCAAAAGGCAGCCCTGAGCATTTTGCACTAAGGAGGAAGAAAGGCCAAGCTTGTACAATTCTTCCGCTCCCACTTTAACTTTTCGGCCTCCAACTATTTTCCACTTGGAGGATTTCCTGGCTGTGATGCATTTAACTCTTCAGTAGCCACCAGACCTTCCTTGGCTTGTGCAGGTTGTCCCCAGCAGCAGCACACAATGCCTGGGTGCAGAACCCCCTCCTGCCCACTGCAAGCCTTCCCTTGGCACCCCTTGTCCCATCCAGGATCAGTCCTTGGCCAGTCAGACCCCCTCCATCTCCTCCAGGCCTCTCTGGATTTTGTAGACACCCATCATATCTCCACCCCAGGGTTTTCCCCACTTGCATCAGCTTTGTGGTGACTTCACCAACCTCCCCTGCTTCCTATAATTTCTAGATTTTTTTTTCCATTCAAAGCCCTCCTTCCTTTCCTATGGCCGCTCTGCTCCCTTGGAGACCTTCGCTGAGCTACTTGGTAAAAAGTGGACCTTGCAGTGATGTGGAAAGATATGAAGCCCTGTTGGTAAACCAAAATCAATATATTCTTAAGAAAGGAGCAGTGGTTGGGAAAAAATATGGGCCAAGCCACCCCAAACTTTTTGCAAATGTCTTTGATCAAGACATCACAGGCCATGCTTAGAAACAGCAGAAACTTTCCCAGTCACACTGGGATTACTGGTAACCAAGGCTTTCTCAGTGGCATTACCTTAATTAGGAACGTTGCATGGATTTTGCCCCTAATCCTACATGGAACAGCATGTCCCAAGGGTGGTCATGCTGCAGAAAAGCAGGGGCCTGTATTTGCTTGCTTTTCTATCTTATAACCAGACAGAGTGTCAGTATCATAGGACAAATGAGCTGGCATCAAGAAGCCTTGCTAGAAATTGTTTATTTTGTTCCTAAAAATATGAAGAGGCCAAAGTGTTCAAGTATGAGCAGCCCAAAGCAGGCATCTGCCTGGACTCTGTGGGTTAGGCTGGCATTTTCCAGAGATGCTGAGTCCCATCCTCAGGGAGTACACTGGATGCTCTGGTTCCCCCAGGTCAACATTCTTTAAAATGTTGGAGCTCATGGCCTTATTTGTAGGACCACTGGGCAGCAGGACTTGGGATGTAATTTTGTCTCTTGAGTCTCTTGAATCTATATTCCTGGTGCCTGATGTGTGTCTCAAAGTAAAGATCCTCCAGGTTTAGCTGTGGGGCACAAGCAAAGGCTGCTGGCAGTCACACAAACTGCAATGTTTGGAGGTAACAAACATGGTGATTGCTTAGAGGGGAACATAAAACATCAGGCACTCCACAGACAGCAAAACATGTATCTCCTGCTGGGTCAAACAGCAGCACTCTTCAAAGTGTAATGAAAATACCCAAAATTTGCAAATGGAGAGTCATTGCCGAGAAATGAAAAGAAAATACAGCAAAGATTGTGGCATGCTTAATAATAAAACATATGAGAAAAAGACCTGGATGAGCAGCCTAGAGAGAGAATACAAAAAACTGCCAGCAGAAATTTTCAAACATTATCTGAAGCAGGAAGCTGGTGGGGGTCAGGAGGTCAGTAAATAACTGGCACAAAGACAAAATGGGTGACCAAAAGTGGGGCAGTGCAGGAAGGCTGAATGGATTACTGGCTGTAGTGCTCCTTCAGACATGGTCAGGGAGGTCGTGGCAGTCACTCTCTGCAGTCTGAAGTGTTATCAGACAGAATTGGCAATAGAGGAAGTTTGAGGAGGAAAGAGAATAAAAAAAGGATAAATAATCTGTGGCAAAGGACCAGCCCAAATGTCTTTTGAGTTACAGAAAACTAAAGATGACATTGAAAAATGTTTAGGGAGTGTATTAAACCCTGATTTAAGGCAAGCTTGACACCAAAGGGCTGCATTGCAGCAATAATGCCCCGCTTAGGAGGGATCCTTGCACAGCCTAGGGAGACACAGGTCCTTAGGCTCCATTTCAGCATCAGGGAAGTCAGTAGAAGCAAAGAGTATTTACAGACAGATAAACATGAGAAAAGTCAATGCAGCTTTTGTAATAGGAATGTCTGACATCCATGATGGTATCAGTAAGAACACAAACGTGCTGAGCAGATCAAGGTCTTGTGCCAGTGTTTGCAAAAGGCTTTTGATAAGAATCTTCCACCAAGGCCCTTAGGAAACTCCATTCTCGTGGAGTAGGAGACAGACCTAGCCCACAGGCTGGAACCAAGACTGGAATGAGTTGGCATGATCACAGCAGCGATAGTATCAGAAGGTGCTCAGAAAGATCAGAAGGGATGAATAATGAAGTAATTAAGCTTCCTGATGCCACAAAGTAATTAAGAATAATCAAAACTTAAGCTGACAATGTGAAACTGCAGAAGGAGCTCTGATACTGATGGAGCAACAAAATGATGTTTTTCTTTGAACTTCAGAGCTGAAAAAGGTAGTGGGCAAAACCATTTTACCCATAAATACCCAGTGATACTCTCTGAGTTAGTTCATACAGAGCACTGGAATGGCTGCCCAGAGGGGCTGTGTAATCTCCGTGTCCAGAGATGCTCAAACCCCACATGGATGTGTTCCTGTGTCATCACCTGCTCCAGGTGATCCTGTGTTGGCTGGATTGGACTGTTTGATCTCCAGTGGTCCCTTCCAACCCCAACAAGTCTATGGTTCTGTGATTTTTGGAAGGAGGCACTGGCATCTTGCTGTCTTGAGTGAGATATTTACTTGTCTGATTCTTACCCTCTTCCTTTCTTGGCAGATGTTAATGGCCCAGTGCTGCAGACAGGATCCTGGGCTCAGCAGATGCTTTATCTGACCCAGCACAGTTGTCATATTCCCCTGTTACATTGTAATGCACGTCTCAAATCATTACTTTGGAAATGGGTTTCTCCCGGTTAAGCTGAACCAAAGATGTGAGAATCCTGAATTCCACATCTTAGGTAAAAATGGTGAGGGTGGGCTGGGGCTGGGGGGACTGTATTAATCCATTCCAATTTCCTAAAGTTTAAGGGAAATTACTTAAGAGACATTTCTCCTGCCTTAAGAGGCTGGCAGAAACTCAAGCCCAAAATGCATTGAATATCCTACCTCTACCTAGCCCTCAGTAAAGGGTTAAAGAGAACACGACTCACAAGTTGCCCACAGATAGCCCAGAAATTTAATTTCCATTTAGGCACATCGGCTTGGCAGGAATTGTCAGGATTGGTGGCTGCCACAGGTCCATGCAAGTCAACATCCCAGCGCAGACACACTGATCAGACAGTCTCAGAGCTGGTGGAGAAGCTCTGTGGTTTCTGTGGCTCCTCTCCTCAGGCTGAGCAGAAAGCCCTGAGCTGTTTCTGCTTTACACAGCTCCAAGGCATTATTAATCTAGCAGAACCCTAGAATTTCCTGAGAGAAAAACATGAGAGTTCCTTTAAACTATTGTTTATACTGTTGTTATTGTGTACCAGCTCCTGTTTATACTGTCACTAATCTTCTCAGGTACTGAGCCAAATACTTGTGTTGGCTCAGAATTGTTTTGGTTTGTTCTGGTGGTTTTTTTTTCATTTGGGAGGGGAAACTCTGCAGAAATAGTTTAGATAAAAATCAGTGTTCTTGCCTAACATCACTTTTCTGTGTCCTCTTTATGCTTGCTCAGTACTATATGCCCATGGGGCTTTTATAATTCTGTCTCCTGGGGAAAAGAGAGAGAAAAAAGTCACTGTAAAAGCTGGGAGTTGCAATGTGTTGTTATTAAAAGATTTCTCAGAATGCCCAGAAATTTGAATCTTCTATTTCTATCCATCTATCTTAGGCATAAAATATACAGCAGAAAGTTCACCTGCAACACTGGTGGATGGTTTAGCACTTAACATTTTGCTCAGGATATTCATAGGCCACACCTGATGAAGTTATACTGAAAACAGTGGCAATCCTTCAGCTAATGTGACATCCATCTAAATCATCTGAGATGTTGGGACCTGTGGCTCTTAAAAGCAACAAGCAATTACAGAAATTGCTTCAAATTGTGTGTTTGTTGTGAGACAGCTGCAATATCTCCCTCCTACTAATGGATTTTTAAAAGTGGTACTGTTGTTCCTAAGGTGCACAGACCAATGTGAGGTGTGCCAAATCCAAGATAATTTCAATACTTACATGAGCTGCCTCAGCCAAGTACTTACACACTTCTGGTGGGGTATGGTTTTATCCCTGCACTGCTTTAATACCTCCAGAAGTCACTTAATAGAAAGCGTAGCCCAAGGTGGCCTAGTTGGCCCCAGATGAACAATACGAGGGGGATTTCAGCTGCTCTTTTATAAGAAAGATTTGACCTGGATAGGGCAAAAGATCCCTCAAACTAATTTGTCTGGAGGGAGGGAAGGATGGCTACCTTAAAACAACTGAAGTACTGAATTAAATACATATAGATATATATAGACAGATATTTTATATAATCATCGTAGTTGGAAGGATGTTTTTCCTCATTAGTTACATAACTGCTACTTTCCTCTAGCGTTGCATGCTCCTGTTTTTCAAAGAAATGTCATTCCAGGAAATTAGGAAGCTGTGGGAACTGTTTATCCGGGCATGCCCATCCAGGAAAGGACTGGTGGGTTACATCTTGCCTCCCCCAGGGTATTTACAAAGGGATGTGTTAGTGCACGGTACTGAACCCTGCTCTGATTGTACCGCAGTAGCAGAGGGACAAGGCTTCCTCATAAGGAACACCCGGCTGGAAAAGTGCATCCGTGCCTCCCAGGAGACCGACAGCATCAGCCTGGCCAGCTGCAAGCAGCAGTCCCAGCAGCAGAGGTGGGGCTGGAACCCCGACACGGGCACCATCGTCAGCCTGCACACGGGGCGCTGCCTGTCGGCACACAGGATGCGCCAGAACGCCCTGGTCAAGCTGGAGCCCTGTGGAGACTGGGAACGCCAGGCATGGTCCTGCGGCAGGAAGGGACACTTGACTCTGCAGAGCTTGGGCTTCCACCTTGGCACCAAGGAGGGAGGCCACAAGGTGTTTGTCTCGAGGGAGAAGGACAAGTTCAGCAGGTGGAAGACGCTGGCGGATGAAACCGTCTGTGCTGCTGCCCAGACAGCAGCTGGGAGGCCCAGCAAACCAACACAACAAGCTCTAGACACACGAGTGTGGATCTATGAAAGTAAGATGAGGTAGATTTGGTGTCAGATAACATCTAACTTTCATGTCATCCAAGCCATCTAACACCAGGCCTGCACATGTCATTGTAACTCATGTTCACTTCGGCCCCACCTGGAGAAACACCAAACGGCTCCAGCTCAACCCCACTACCTGGCACCACTGGTTTCCAGTAGTGGCTGTTCAATCTTTTCCAGAAGCATCCAAAACATTACATGATCAGGTTTCCAAAACCCAAGTTGCAGTTCTGAGGACAGGCAAATATTTTGGGTAAAATATTTCTGAATTGGTGCCCACAGCTAAGAATAGTGGAGATTGCTTGAGCCTCCCAGGCACAAAACACCCAAGGAAGTCTTCCAAAGTCAGGCACTTTAGACTTTGAAAGAACTTTTGGTACTTTGGAAAGTCTTTTTTTGGTAAAACAACTGGAGGCAGCTGAAAACTTCTTTTAAACTTATATATATTATTGAGAAGCAGTTGTATCAGAAATTATTGCTTCAGTTTCTGAAATTAAAGTTCTCTTCTGTGAGACCCCAACAGTGCACCTTTCACTAATGAAATCTAGTTGTAGCCTTCATTCCATGCTCTCATTATCCTCAGTGAACCTTGCTGCTGGTGCCCAGTGTAGCCATAAAGACACTGGTGAACACTGCAAGTAGTGGGAGGGAGCTTAAATGTTGCCCTCCCTTTGCATTAGGAAATCCCAGAAGATGACATCAAAAATTATTAGAAATGGGGTTCCTATTGACCAATTACGTCCTTGGCCTTTGCTGAAGAGAATCCAAACTGCTTTCACCAGTATTCACTAGTCTTTATCTTAGACTGGACCCAGAAAGGGCAAAAACCCTGGTCTTGTCACAATTTTAGGAGTTTGACATAAGGCTACCAAACACCAGGCATGGTCATTTTACCAAGATGTGGCTGTGATCATTTGTTGCATGCCCAGTGAAGCCCGCTGCTGATCACTGATAGTTCATGGTCCAGTCTGTTTCCCACTTTCATTCAAGTCCTTTCTGCAAATAAAAGTGGGTTTTGGTACTTTTCTTGTAAAGTTGTGTGCAGAACTGAGACCTGAAAATCACATTCCATTCCTCCTCCCCTCCTCCCCTCCCCTCCTTTCTCCCACTCCAGAGACCCAAAACCACCTGGTGTTTGTAATGATTTTTTAAGTGTTTGTCCACTCTGTAGGTGATGAAGTTCCCAACATTCCTCAGGGAAAATTATTTCCCTGACAGGAGGCTATTCCTTACCTTAAGGTTGACGGACCCAATGCGCTCTGTGAAAATGAGAAAAGAGAAAATGTGATGTATCTGCTTGGCATAAGCAGATGGATTATAAGTGTAACCTTTTGACACAGAGACACTGTATCTAATTTGAAATAAAAAGTGATACATCAGCTGCTTTGGCTGTCATGCGTAGAGAAGGTGGTCTTTTTCCCCTCAAGCCAGGGGGAACTTAATTAGCCAACTAGAAGGTCAACATGTAATTATCACAATAGTTACAAGTGTTAGTGTTTGTTTAACATTAAGTTAAATATGGACCATACAAATTGGATACCATAATAGGCTAGTTAAATATAGGCTAGGAAATGCGTGGAACATTTAAGATATGGGAAAAAGGCATGTGAAAAGAGCATTCTCATTCCCCAAGGCAATGCTCCTGGCAACCCAGGGTTGCCTTGGAGCCAGGATCCCTAAATAAGGTTGTGAGGGTAAACACAGAGCAGCTTTTAAATCAGGCTGTGCCCCTCAGTGTGTCTCACACAGAGTCAAAATTTTCCTATCAATCCCATGGTTCAGTCTACTGGAGGGAACCTCTGACTGCTCACTAACAACACCAAAGTCCTATGTATTTGTTCAGGCATTTCTCATCTAACTTCCACCTGATCATCAACAGGCAGCTTACACTTCGGTGGGTTATCTGCTCAATAAATTACACCTGTGCAGCTGTGCTGTGGGTGCTCATGCCACAGGGTGGGATGGGGTCTGGATAAGCAGCAGGGAGCCCTGAAGTCACTGTGTTCTTGGTCCTCGCATGTGCATCATTGCAGCAGAAGGGTGAATTGCTGACACCAAAGTTCACACAGCCTCCCCTCTAGCAGCAGCTGTTTGCCCACACACCCTGCTCTGCAGCAGGACTGGAGGGCACAGGAAGGTGTTGAGCCTTGCAGGAGGTATGGCCTACTTACAACCCTTTGGATCCCATTTTTATATCTGCAGACTTGTTAAGAGCTGTGATTCTTCCACTTGCCTCTTCCTCACACAGCATCCTTTAACATCTGGTGTTGCACTCACACTGTTAAAATCCACGACCACATCTACCACCAGAAAACAAGCTCTGCTTTGTTTGTTGATTCCATCTTGAGAGGTTCATTTCACCTTTAAAATCTCTGACAGCTGAAAGCCCCTGGTGCACAGGAGGGGGTGATTGCTGCTGCACCACATCCTTCTCACCCTGCAGGGCTGAGAACCAAACCAGCAGGGCTGGGTTCCCTTTCCCTGCTGGGCAATGAGCGTATCCAGGCTCCTGTACAAAATATAAATGATAATCACACAGATCTTTGCTTTATTTCCTTCCAAGCTAAAACCATTGATTCTTCAAAGATCGATGCTGTGGACAGAGAGTCTTCTGTGAGCTTGACTGACCCCCCTCTGGCTAACAAGTTCAACAGCACAGTGTCTCCAGCAAAGACCAAACAGGCACAGCTCCCAGCAAATGAGGGTGAGCACTTCTCTGAATGCATAAGTAAGAACAGCAGGACGGAAAGTGTGGGCAGCACTTTGAGGTTACTCAGCTGTTTTCAGTGGTGGAAGAGTACCTGAGGATTTCTGAAAAATTTCCATGTGTGCCACTGAATGCTTTCACCCAACATGCTGAGGAGTCTCCCTCGGAAAGCAGTGCAGAGAGATACAGGCTTAACCGGGAGGCATGGCCACCCACTGTTTTAGGAGCAAAAATTATCTGCGGTTGGGGAGCACTGAGTGACAGTAAAGTTTCCTTCTCCTTTTTGGGTCCCATACAAAAGGGATTTGTGGTTACAGTGAAGCCTGATGAGGAATCTGGATCTCTGGTCCAACTGGAAGCTGCTAATCAGAGTATTTCTGCTTCTTCCACTAGATCCATCCCACAACCACTCCAAGAAACATGGAAATCGGGGGAAAAACACTGGGGCCAGGCTTGCAGGTAGGTCCAGGGATCAGCCAGAGGAGAAAGGGACCAGGCAGATGAAGGTTCATCAGTGCCTCTGTCCTTCCCATTGTGACAGAGATACATTTCCCTGAGGTACTGCTGAGGATGCTCAATAGGGAATGAGGGCACAAAATTACCTGTCAGAAAGACCCTCTTTAAATCTCCACAGGCCTGAGATAAAAAAAATAGTAAAAACATGAAAATGAGACAGCTGCTAACACTACTGCTTTTCCCCAGCCCTTCTTCTTTTGTATCAGAAGGATGCAGAGTGGAGAAGCATGAGATATTACTGTCTTCATAGCAAGAAAGAAAAACTTTTGTGGCCATTTTCAATAGAAGGATGCTGTGCAGTATAAAAGCAGCTGTAAGATGTTGATCTTGTAGACAATGCACTTTTCCTGTTATCTGGCATTTTTCAGGGACATTACAGGTGATTTTTTGTGGCAGTTGTGGCTATTGCATAAGAGCAGGGATAGGTACAGCAAACAAGTGATGCTTTCTCTGATACCCTTTCAGGCACGAACTGGAAGACAGCCATGCTGGTCCTCAGCCCCCTGGCTTTCATACTGGGATTAATAATACTGACACTCAATGTTCACTACAACAAGTAAGTGAGAGTCAGGTTCATTGATTTCGCTATGAACAGCATCTTAAAGAAAAACTCCAACATCTCAAAACAAAAGTCTTGGTCTTGGCACCCTTCCCCATTCCACACCTGATGTTGCTGATCTCAGAAGATGGGTCTGGTCACCAATGTGTCACCCTTGGGGATTTCTCCTCTCTGCCCCCCAGTTTATCCATCCCACTCAGAGACCCCCCCAAACGCAGCCGCCACTGTCGGCTCCTCCTCCCCTGCACATCTTGTGCCATCCCTGAAGGAAGTGCCATTACAGTTTCTGATGTGGAGAAGCAACCAAGTGACAGCTGCAGTGACTCTCTTCTCTCTTCTCTTAGGAAGAAGAAGATCCTGTCTGCTCTGAAGAGCTCTCCCGCCCACAGCAGCCGAGCTGATTTACGGGAGCCGCCCCCCCTGCGCAGAGGGATCCACGCCCAGCCGTACCTGCCGCCATCCCGCTCCCCCTCCCTGAGGCGGGGAGAGATCCTCATCGAGTGGAAAGACGGGACTGTCACTCCTCTTTTTGACAACATCAATTACCAAGTGGACTAGCTGCAGAATAACAGAGCTTTTGTTCCCTCCCTGTTGTCACTGTTCCCACCAGGAGGGCTGCCACCACAGCTATCTCCTCCCTGCCCTTGCTGTTTTGACAGGAAGCACAGTTTGGGGTTTTTTCTAAACACTTGAGTACAATCTTCTTGCACAGGACAAGGGCTGAAGCAAGCAGAGTAGATTGTTTGGTTTGTATAGGCACATGCTGCTTAGCAATTTCAGAACTGCTTTAACCCATAAGAAACCCCAGGTTTCCCTAAATGAAGCTGGGACTACCGCCAGCTGCAACTGCCCATGGAATCAAAATTAAAGTTATTAAGCATATGAAAAAGTGAATCTTTGAAGACAAGGAAAAAGGTAAAAAGCAAAAGTCCTGATAATCCTTAAATTCTTTTTAAGATAAAACTAGCTGTCAATAGCTAGTTTTTAATCCTTAAATTCTTTTTAAGATAAAACTAGCTGTCTTTACAGAAGACCATCAGTTACATTGTCAGTGTGAGAATGTAATTAATAAGCACTGCCTTCTATAAAATCTCTTCCAGGTATCTGCCAAAATATTCATCCCCACTAAGTTGTCAATTAAGTAACAGCAAGTCATTTTTCTAACTTAAAAGGTAGCACTCCACTGTCCTCTCTGCATCACTGCAAGAGCCCTGCTGAGAGAGCATGTGTCTCTCCAAACTCTTCCATATTTAGGATGTACTAAACCTTATTATAACACACATCCTCTTTTATTATATAGACTGGCAAGAAATGTCGGTCATGCTTGTTGGGGATATTGCATATAGAGCCACTTTATTCCAGCTCCAGTCTCTGATTTCCTATAATCATATGGAATAGTCAATGAATAGATACACTGCTCCACCAGAGCAGTAATACAGTTCTTTTTCTTTTAGGTAGGAGTAAGACATTGTTTTCAGCCTTTACACTTCTTGTTTGAGCAAAATTACCTGCAGCTATCACACGCAATCCTGATCTTTTCTCAGTGAAATCTGCAATGTCTTAGTGCTTTCCTAATATTAATGAATGTATGCTTTCTTTCCCTCCGATTCTGAGATGATGTAATCATGGCTGTAAGTCAAGAGTTACGTGGAGAAAGAAACAATAACACCAGGAAATTACAAGTATGAGCTGTGTCAGTGCATTTGTTCAGTAGAGCAAGGGAAACAGCATCCTCACGTCTCTTACTCGAGCAACGCCTTTCACTTGACCTAAATTAAGCTGTTCTGCTATTTCAGTGTAGCTTGAATTTCTCTTGAGTTTTATTTAACCTACAGCAGAAGTAAGGTCTCTCCAGGGAATTTAAAATCTCTGGGGTTTTTTAATCATAAAATCTCTGGTTGTTTGTTTGTTTTTGAGGGTTTTTTAAAATTATTTTTCTTTTTAAATTGTAAAAAGTCCACTGTCATAAGATATTATTATAACCGAAAACTTTACTGGTCTTAAAAAAAAACAAAACAACACAACAAAAAAACCAAGCCCTGTTGTTTTAGGGCATAAATATCATAGAGGTTGGAAATAAATATCTTTGCCAAGCAGATTATTCCATAATTATTTACTGGAGGGTTTCCCAGATGCTCCTTGGGAAAATGTTTTACTATTAGACATGGGCAGAGGCAGAACTCTTTCTTCACCAGCAAGCAGCAAGAATTAGAGCTAAATTCTGACTTTCCAACATTTCTACTTTAAATGAAACTCAAAGACTCTGGGATCAAAAAATGTTTAAGAATAATTTTACTTGCAAAATTTGTGGGAATACATTCTGTACATAAATCACTTAAAATGCACACACAGTGCCTTACCCATGATCACAGTTACACCCCTTGGAATTTTGTCCAAGGAGCACATCACCTTACAGTGCACAGCACTGGTCACCCTCCAAAACCTTGACAGGCTTTGGGAGCACTATGTGAGCAGTGCCATTAAAAAGGAAATACTGGCTTGGAGCTGAGCTAATGTGTTTTCCACAGCATCAAGTGCCTTCGTTCATTACTGCTGAATGGGCAGAACCGATGACTTGTTAACGACTCTCTAACTCCAGCTTAATATGCTAATCTTGCTCATAAACAGGAAGGCAACAACACCGTTGTTTACACAGCACTGATTAAATGGTACCTCAAACAATAATGAAAAACCAAGACTGCGGCTGCACAGGCTTTTAACTCTTCTCTCCCACTCTCACTGGTTGCTACATTCTCTGCCACCTCCTGAGTGGAACACTTCTGAGGAAGTGTTCATAATCAAAATAAAGCCTGACTGTAATGTGGACGAGCACTGGAGTTTTTAATGTGTATATATACACAGATATTTATATATAAATGCCTCCTTATAGTGTATCCCCTTTTTTGAAAATATAAATATATGCAATTTTAAATAACTCCACTGGAAGATAATGGAGTGACATGCAAGACACTCCTGTCACACTGGTACCAACATTAGTAATGTCTGCTACCCCGAAAGATGAGTGGGTGCAGCCATAGCAGTACTGATAGTATGAAACAGACATAGATTGCACATAAGCTTGGATATCCTGTGCAGAAAGTGGATTAAATACCCTTTCCCAACCCCATGGGAAATCTACAGCTAAGGTGTCTGTTAAAGATCAAAAAATTAAAATAAAGAGGCAAAAGAAGTTCAATTTACCACTTAAATACTGCACCCAATCATTTACTAAGACTGTCTGGATGGAAAATGTTCTCACAACAGTATACATTATGGATGTACATAAATTCATGATACAAAAAAAAAAAAATATCTGAAATGATCTGACAAGTTATCACTGCATATCACTGGAAGAGTTGGGAATAGAACTACTGCTTCCTCATTTGAAATTCAAGGTATGACTTCTGTAGTAAGCTTTTGTTATTAAAAATCCCCATATGCTCATTTTCTCAACTCTCTAGCTTTACATCAGCAAGTCAAGATGTATCAAGTGTTTGATTTTTCAAAAAGACCTGTGGTTGTTCAGCACTTCAAGGAAGAAAAAGAAAGGGGAAAAAAAAAAGAAAAAGAAAAGGAGACAGAGACAGAGGAAGTCTTTTGTTAGCTCTGGGCTTCAATTCAGACATCTCTGGCTTAGGGTTCAATCAGACTATACTTTTTTATGCTAGCTAGGACAGACAAAAGCATATTCTCTTTAAAAGCTCCTTGTATCCTCACTGAATTTCTACAGATTTAAAAAAAAAAAAAAAGAAATCTACATTTCTGCAGCCATATAATTCTTCCTTCAATTTAAAACATAAGAAGCACACCTGTCTCCTCAAGAAATCCCCTTATACTTCACAAAACCACTTATTCTCTGGAGCACAGAAACTGATGCACTTCCTTCAGCAATGCTTGCATGTCCTCATATTCTGCAAATTTGCAGGCATCCTCCAGCTTCAGCCACTGGAAAGCTTGGTGCTCCTCTGACAGCTTGATCTCTGCGTTGCAGTCCTTCATTTCTGCCAGCCAGTACACGACAGTCTTGGGCTTGCCGTGGACAGGGTAGTGCAGCTCCTTCTTGTAGCCCTCGATGAGGGTGAGCTGGCTGGCCTGCAGGCCTGCCTCCTCCTGCGTTTCCCGGAAGGCTGTCTGCAGGTCATCCTCCCCAGGGTCCACGTGGCCTGCCAAGAGGGTGGAAAAGTAAATCTCCGGGAAGGAAACTCATGTTGTGCTTTAATCGGGAAACACCGGGAGGCAGAGATGAGAGTACATGGTAGCTGACACAGGATGAGATGGAAATTGAAGAAGAGAGATTGCTTTTCCAGATCTTTATGTCTTGATTTATCTTTGTCTTGTGGCTTTTAGGGTCACTGTTTATCCCTCACCTCCTGAAACTTCCATCAGCCTCTCAGCATCAGACATTTTTTCTTCCCACTCCTCCCCTCCACTTCTGGAGTACCCTACACCCATAAAGCTCCACCTTGGATTATACTGAGGACTGAATCCCTCATTTTTCCTTCATCCAGTTAGAGCAGAGATAGGTCATCTGAGACTCTTAATCTTCTCTCAACCATGTCCTCTCACATAAGCTTAAGGCTCAATTCTGTAAAACTCTTACTTGTGCCAACAGTCCAGAAACAACGGGACCAGGCACGGATGTGTACCATTTAAAAAGTGCATTTCTTTTAGGCAGCCAGGGATTTTTTTTCTCCTCCATACTCCCCTCTGAAACAAGCAACAAGTCTAAAAGCCAGCCCTTTCAACAGCTGGGTAGTTCTCCTAGGATACACCATTTATTTTACATTGCTCAGAACGAGAGGTGCCACTACAAACAAAGGATAAATATAACACATACCCAGCCACTTGTACTTTTGTTGAGAAATGTCAGATTTGGTTTTCTCATGAAAGCTCCAGAACATAAATAGAACAAGCCAAGCAATACCTCAAAAAAGCAACACAGCAGGAGCTGGGACATTTGGGGAGGTAAAAAAGTTTAAGCTCTGTTTTATCCCTGGTGTCAGTCTATTTTCTAGTAGCTGGCTCCACATAACTATAATTTCATTGCAGAGATGAACTGTTCCTCAGGTCTCAGATACTCAAAGTGCCCTTTTAGTACCACAACTGGGGTATGTAGGAAGTTTGCTTTGCCTCTGCAACAGGTTCCACTCACTTCCTTGCCTGTGTATCAAAAGTGTGAACATCTGTTACAAAAAGATATCACTTCAGATATAAAATGCACTTTTCTTTCAAGCAGCCACTGTGCAGAAAACAGCATTTGATACCTGTTGATAACCTCAGGTCTAAGCTCAGTAAATTGCCACGTTTGTGCAGTACAGTCTACCTGCAGAGCAGAAAAAGGACTGCAGGCAGCACCTCACACACCACAGCTTTCAGATCCTTTCAGATCCTCCCACCTGTTCCCACTGGCGCAGCGCTAATAGACTGAGAAGGAAAATGAACCCTACATCCCCTTCCCATCAGCCTCAGCTAGTGCCAAGTCACAGTCCTAGGGGCAGAGATAAGGCTGATGAGGTTCTTGTGAGGGGATCCAAGCAAGTCCAGTTTAATCCCATAAGAGTTGCAGCAGCTTAGAGAGCTTTTAAAATAACAAGGTACAGCTGTAGCTGTAAACAGCCTTTTGTCTGTGCTTTGAGAGACAATTACAACTTCTTCTTCTGGCTCCTGCCCCATGGAATCTGTGTCAACATCACATACAGGTTACCACACTGCACATCCCAGGGTTACCTTGGAAGACCATTCCAATCACAGATATTGTAAAATTCACTAGCTTCTCCTCAATAAATTCCCCCCAATCAACACCAAGCTTCTATTACAGGCCACCATCAGACTGGGGTCTTTGATCTCTAAAACCTGAAGTGGTGTGTTGAGGGAGGTGATTCTCCCCCTCTGCTCTGGTGTGACCCCACTTGCAATGCTGCATCCACCTGGAGCCCTCAGCATGGGAGGGACATGGACCTGCAGGACTGAGTTCAGAGGAAGCCATGAATACAATCAGGGAGTGGAGCACCTCTGGATGAGAGAGTTGGGGCTGCTCAGTCTGGAGAAGAGAAGGCTCTGGGGAGACCTCAGAGCCCCTTCCAGTGCCTAAAGGGTGGTGGTTTATGAGAAAATTGGGGACAGACTTTTGGAAAGGGCTTGGAGTGACAGGAGAAGGGCTCCTGCTTTTCATCTAGGAGAGGGCAGACTCAGACTACAGACAAGGAAGACTTGCTTTTACTGTGAGGGTGGTGAAATACTGGCACAAGTTTCCCAGAGAAGCAGTGAGTGCCTCATCCCTGTAAACATCCAGGTGGGATGGGACTCCAGAAACCTGCTCTAGTTGAGGATGCTCCTGCCCACTGGTGGGGGCTTGGAGTAGACAACCTTTAAGATTCCTCCCAACCTACACTACTCCATGATCCCAGGTGTGTGAGATGTATGCTTATGAGACAATTAGCTCCCTACCAAAACTCCTACAAGTAATTTAAATCACTTGTACAGAATTACTGTGTTCCCAGGGAGCCTTCCATAAGGGTTTCTTCTCACAACAATCAATCATGTCGCAGCAGATGTTTTTTTAGCTTTCCTCTAGGCTGCAAACTCAATTCCCTTAGGCTCTTGGTGGAGTAGACAAAGGGGGAGGTTTGGAAAGTTTTGTTCTTTCCCTCAATAGGCGAGCCTAGCTGACACTGTAAAAAGATTTTTTTTTCCTCCAATTTGCAAGTACTTGTTTATAAACTGCTGCACCATGCTTTGAAAGTGACACATTTTACAAAATAAGAAGCAAAAACTATTGGGGAAAAAATCTCAGGTGGGAAAAAACAGCAAGAAGATCTCTAGGGAACCTGAAGCACTTTTGTGCTGCACTTTTCCTGGTACCAGGGCTGTGACTGCTCACTACCAAACACTGGCTCTGTGACATGCCTTTATGGAGGAGGTTCTGCTCTGTCCTGGGACACAGGGCTTGTTTTCTGCTCTGAGGCCTCACTGATGACCAAGAATGGCTGGTAAGGTGAATTCTCCTATCTGTCCCTCTTATCTCTATTGCATTAGGCAAGTGATCTTCATCAATGATCTCCTGCATCTCCTCAGAAAGGTGTATTTAAGTGTTCTACTACAGATTTCAGTTTGCCTTCCTGCTGACTGTGACCACAGCCCTGCAGACTCTGATGGGTCAAACAATCCTGCACTGGCCACACTGCAGGTGCCTGGCAAAGGGTGAGACCCAAGACAAGAGTGAACCTCCCCCCATTACCTCGCTTCAGTCGTGTGCACACCTTGTCAGAAACATCAGACACCTGAGGAGCTGGGCTGGGTGACAGTCCCTGCCCCAACCCAAATAATTTGTGCCCAACCCTTGGTACAGCCACAATCTGCAGAGGGTTTCAGCCTCAGAATTGCCCCCTCAGCTGTGCCAGGAGCACCATCACACAAGCAGCACAGCCAGCAGCTTCTCCCAGGTGGTGACTGCCCCTCTAAAATGACCCTCAGCCAAAATCCTCTCTGCAGCCTGACACCAGTGACCTGCAGCAGTGTCCCCAGAACAGAAATCACCTTTGGGTGGGGTCCAGTGGTGGCTCCCGTAGGATGTCTGCAGCAGGAGGTACTCGATGCTGTCAGCGACTTTAGAGGATGGTGCTGGCTGCAGCCTCCTGAAGATGATCAAGCCACAAGCTCTCACAGCCATTCCCCTCTGCCAGCTGCACCAGGAGCTGCGGAAAAGCACAAAACACGGGGCTCAAACAGAGCAGCTCTATTCAGCCAGCAAACAGATCCCAGCACAGCAAAAAAAGCTGTCCAACCTTGGAAGTTACTACAGAATTAAATTGCATAATATTAGCCACCTTTGAATTGTAAAAAAATTTACTTTGTTATCGAGAAGCATGAAAAATGACCTGCATGTCATGTCTTTGCTGCTGATAAATTACAAACCACATTGCAGGGAGGGGAACAAAATTAAAAAGCAAAAGGAAAGCCACAGATTAACACCCTGAAACTTTTCCACTGCAAAACTGCACAGGCCCTGCACAGAGGTAATACCTCACCATTACTGGAACTGGCATATGGAAATGATTGCTCTGGACAGTTTCCCTGGAGCACAGGACTCAGAATATCAGGGCAAAGCTGAGAAAATGAATGACAAAGGACAGGCTCTCTGCTGTCTCACCTAGACATAAGGCTGTCATACAAAACTAAAAGTTTCTTAGCATGCCTGTTAAGCACTGGTTTGATGTAAACAACAAGGAATACACCTCTTAAGTGATAAATATTGTCAGCAATAAGCTACGCAAACAGCATGAGTAGTCCTATAGAGAAAAAGAAGCAATGGACATGAGTAAGCCATGCTACAAATTTGGCAGTTTCCCAGTTATGGGAAAAGCTTTGCATTCCGACAGAGACGCACAGATCAGTAAATAATTTTACAGAACACTGTATTTTCCTCAAGAAAATGTCAAGGGCGGGTTTGTGAGTTCTCCAGCTCCCAACACGGGAAACCAGAGCACGGAGCCCTCCGCCAACAACCCCGCCCCGGGACTACGCTCATCTCCTCTGGTCAACCACGTCAACCGCTTCCTTTAGCTCCTGCCTACTTCCTTCGATTCAGCCACCACAAGGCCGACACCCCTCTGCGGCCCCCGCGGCACCAGCACCACCTCCCGTGCGCGCCGGGAAGGACAAGGACAAATCCCCGCGGGCCCCTCCGCCGGCGCCTGGCCCCGCTGCCCTGCCCGCTCCTCGCCGCCGCAAAGGGTCCCCCTGTGCCCGGGGATGGGGACACCGGGACCCCGGGGATGGGGACACCGGGACCGGGCACACATGTCACCCCCACAGCGGCCACCATGGACCCCCGCCCTCACCTCTGCTTCCGGGTCCGGCAGGGGGCGGGAGCCAGCGCACGATTGGCGTCAACATTAACCAATTGCAGCTTCAGCCCCTCGGCCGGTAGCCACTCCTTTCTCGTCCCGCCCCCCAGCCTTCCCTTAGCCCCCGCCCCCGTACCCGAGAAGGCCTCGGATTGGCCTCTCGCGGCCGGGAGGTGCCCTACCGGCCTCTCTCCCCTCTCGCTATTGGCTGGCTGTGCGCGCGAGGCTGCGCGCGGGCGTTTGAAGCGGGAAAAGCGTTGTTGCCATGGAGACGCGGCTTAATGGCCGCCGCCGAGCGGCGCCGCGGCCGGTGAGTGAGGGGGGACCCCAGCCCTGAGGGGACGGGGACAGCTGGGCCAGGGAGGGCTCTAGGGAAATCGCCCTGACCGGCCCCACCGGGCTCTAGACGGGGGAAAAGCCGTGGTAGGACAGCTCCGAGAAGGATGAGACATGTGCCCCCTTCAGGCACGCGGTGCAAGTCCGGACGGGACGCGTGGCGGTTTGTTTAGCTATTTCTTTATAATTACAAAATATTTTTCAATTTTGCATTTTATATATTTTACAGATAACACATAGCTTATGCACCATGTAAAATATGTAAGTGCAATTAAGAATACATATTTATATACATTATGTAAAATATAAGAAATACTTTATTGCTACTTAAAATACATTTTTAATATATTTTACATAAGATCTATGAAATATATTTTTTATGTTTGTATGTTTAAAAACTTAAGTAAAACTTTGAAATTATAAAAGTAACCGTGAGGGGCAGTTGGTGGACCCTGCTGGGAGGACGAGCTCAGACACGGTTTTCAGATAATTGGCACCCTGCCATAACTCGTGGGTTATTTTCTCGGCACGTGGTTGAATATTGGACACTTCCAATAGTCAGTATCCCAATATTGGACGCTTCCCCTTCCCCGTGCAGCTGTTCCTGGCAGCTGTCGGGATCAGCTGCAGGATGGGGCCTCTTCTGCTGAGGTCACCAGGCTATAATTACTATGGAGAGGGGAATAAAATACTCTGACATGCTTTGTGGGGAAGCAAAAAAATCTCCAATATTTGTTTGTTTGTCAGCCACTTTTAATGACATTAATTAGTAACAATAGAGCAACACAATACCCTGAATTGCTTTCTGGGGAAACAAAATAATCCCCAATATTTACTTGTTTGTAAGGCAGTTTTAATGACATTAATTGTTTTATTAACTTCCTCAAGGAATGTCAGCGGCAAAGGAAACCCCTGTTTCTTACTTGTTGCTGCAAGCAGCAGACCTGTGTCAAGCTCCAGCTGTAAAATAGCTTTTAAAACAATTTAGCATTAAAACCCTTCCCTCCCCTCCAGGTACTATTGCTGTGTTGAAGCTGTTAGTGGTTATCTATTGTCAGTGTCCAGCTTCAGAACAGCTGAACGCTTGTTCCAAGGAGCAGTGGAATATTTAATGCCCTGTTGTTTACGTGCAGGGTGGAGTAATCCTATGATCTTCCAAAGGGATCTGCTGCAACGTCAACCACAGCTTCACAGATCCCCACCTTTTCCATTAAAATAAAATTTTAGGCTCATTTTACAAAGCAGATTATCTCTTATTGTGGAGCTTGTCTTAAGAAAGTGCAGCTCCCTGTTATTCACAGGAATGCCCTAGTTCCCAAGGAGTGGGGTCAGAATGATTAAAGGTAAAGCATTTTGTGTGGTGCTCTGGGAAAGCAAATTAGCCATTTGCTTCTGGAGGGTTAAATCAGATTTGGCTTTGGATCACCTTAAAAAAAATAGCTTAATGTTTAAATGAATAAGGAATGAAGATGGATGGGTAGTGACAAGAATTAATACCTTTCCCTTTTCCCTATTCATTCTTTGCTTCTGTATTTCAAGAAACCTGCAAATTCTTTGGCATGAGCAGAAGCTGTGATGAAGTGCTGAAGTCTTTTATGGGGTAGAATGGTTGCAAGTAATGAGTTCAGTGTGCTGCTGTAGCTGCTATCAGGAGAAAACACCCATCTGCTACACACATTTACAAACTTTTAAAGCTCTTAAGTTTTATTTTTAATAAGGTACTTGTAGAGGAGAATGGTTTACACAGAAAACAAGGTGATGTTTATGGTTTGTATGCTGATTAACCATTTCTGTGTTTATCAAATACTCTTGAAATAATAAAAAAATTATTTCATAATCGGGCCAGGTTTTATGATTCAGAGTGATTACCTTAGCCTATATGCAGGACAAAATGTATCATTTGCATTTGTAGGAGTGTCATGTAAGATTTCTTCACTTTATTTCCCTAATTTAAAGAATAGATATAATGACATTTGTGTTCTCTCTCAGTGGTGACGCTCAGGAAATCATCTAAATCCAAAATTGTCACTCTAAATCATCTACAATTGTCAGGTCAATATGAGTGGGATAACAGGACATGTGAAAGTTACTCAAATGAATGGGGTCCTGAGATCTTTAATAAATCAGAAGTTAATAATGATCAAGGTATAGTGGTTCTAGGCTGCTTTATTCTTAAAATAATCTCTATGGGGCTTTAACATAATTTATTTTACACACAGTGATTGATACTCATCAAGCACCTTTGAAGACCTTTCCTCCACCTTGAAAAGTGCATTGAGAAGGAAAAGATCTTGTGAAAGAGGTAATTAATAAATAAAACAATTTAAAAACAGAGAGTCAGCTCCTAGAGCATAATTTTGTTTTAAGTTAATTTCCTACAGGACAGAAAAATGTAACACTCCTTTTTATTATTTACACCTGACTTTTCTGTTTTTCATCAGCTTTATGACCATTGAAAACCCTCTAATACTGGAGCTGAGGAAGAGTTCTCTTATGACAAACTGCAATCTAATTCTGTGGCTGAGCTGGTCCCTTTTATATATAATTCTAATGCTTTTTTACAATAAGCACTCACACATTATCAGCATCTGGAAGCCTTTTAAGATCTTTTTAAAACATCTTGGCATACGAAACAAGTTGTAGAGAACTCATGTTTGCCACACAGAGGTGTCAGGCTGGGTGCATGTGGAGAATTATACCTCCACACTTACCTCTTTCTCAAAATATGTTATATTCAACTATTTCAAGAAGTCCTAGTCTTTCATGTCAACCTGTATTCAGTGAAGCTACCCGTATCTTTGTGGGGAACAAGGCCTAGGTTTTGATATGAGATACCACACTGAAGAATGGTATGTTTTTCTGCCCCATGACATGTTATTCTCATGGGTGAACAAGCAAATAACTGAGGAAGTGCTGGCTGTTGCGAGACTGAAAGTCTTCTGTCTTTTCTTTTGCCAGAAGATGGCATTAACAATTTAGGATTCTTGAAAACCTCCTCTTAGTTTTCACAAAGCCAGTTTATTTTGATGAATTGTTTGTCTGTTAGAAAAAGCATCTTCAGACACAAAGATCTCTCATCTAGGGTTGGATGAATAAAAGTATTTTATCAATAAGGAGAAAGATATGCCTTTTTTTTAGAGCATCAGTGATTGAGAGGTGAGAAGAGTTTCACTGGCAATTGCAGTTTTCCCTGAGTTCTTTCATGTTTGAACCACACAAAATCTTTTAGCAATTGTCTACTCTTGAGTTTCAAAGTGATCAAAAATGCTGATTTTCTCATTATGCCAATGCCTAATTTTTTTTCCTGTGGTTAATTAATTTATTTCTCCTTTCTTAGTGAACGGGTTTTTTTTTCCCTTGCTTGTGAAATTCCTGTCCTGTCAAAAAGGAGTTGGTGGAGTTATCCCTGAAACCACTCAGATCCAGTAAGATTTATTCTATCTGGAAAGGCAGACCTCAAGTCTCATTAAGAGGCCAGGTCTCATTAAGAAACCATTTAGTTGCTTTCACATGGCTCAGAGCCTTAGCTAATTAGCCACCGAAGCTGCTTACATTGCTCTTTTAGGTTCTGCAGTACCTACATTACTTGGATTTTCCTAATGCCAAGAATTCTTCTGACTTGTCATTCCATATAATGGCAACCTGTTATTTCTAGCTGTTTAAGTATATTTTGTTTCATTTTTAATTAGAACCTTGACCTTCAAATTTGTAATTCTCTTCCCTTGTCTGCTGTTCCTTTTTTAGAAAGTGTCTCCATTGTTTTCCTTTTTATTCTTTTTTCTTTCTCCTGTGTTCACCATTATAATTTGAACAGAGGTTATTACTGAATTAGTGTCTTTGGACACTCTGTATTTAATGTAAGAATATATAGGAGATGTAGGTGTAATCTAGGGTACAGATAGAGAGTAGACAAAGTAAATTTATTTGATTATTTTTGCCTCTAACAGATTCTCAACATTTTTGAGATTGGTATTTTGGTCTTGAATTCTAGTTGCTCCTTTCATCAAACAGAAGCTTCCCATGGCAATGCATATAGAGACTTGCACAGCACCTGTACTGGTTTTACATCTAAAGCTACCTTATGTAAGGAAGGGAATTTTTCCAAAATGTATTTAATTTAAGTCTCAGGTTCCTGAGTGTTTTTATATGTTAGAGAAGTTTGGCAAGTGGAGAATACTTGTGAAACCCTTGCACACGTGGTGTTTAGTCTCCCTGATCTCTGTTTGCTGTCCTCTCTGTCAGTTTTGACTTCCACCTTCCAGGATCTATCAGTCTCAGCAGTGACTCTACCTCAGGATTCAGAATCACGTTATCTACAGATTAAATAAATTCACTTACTTGTGAATTTTTGGGTCTTGTAGTTCATTGTTGTTGAATCTCATAATTTTACCTAAAGCATGGACTGTAAGTAATTTTAAATGTTCCCTACTGTACATTTTGGCCTCTGTAGTATCTTATACAGTCAGCACTTTATATATTAATCCATATGATTTTATTGTTATTATTACTACAACATAATGTATTAATTAATGACATGGACTCAGATGTGGGCATGACCTTATTTTCTTCTATAATGTCATTGTAGAGAGCCTTGAAAAGACTCTACTCTGAACTGCAGGGAGGAAAACTTAAATGACTTGTTTTTGTTGAGTCTTACTGTGACCTCCAAACATGAGTAAGAGCAGTATTTGTTAAGGTCCTAGACTGAACAAAGATATGAGAAGGCAGTGGGCAGCAAATACTTGAAGTGCTATCATTTTTGTGTTTTATGGAAGAAGTAAAAATATCTGCAGATATTAATCCATTGGCATACAGACAGCTGCACCATGCATTGCCAGTAAGACATAAGTGAAGAAGTTGGGGGATATGGGGCATACTTTTCAGTGATTCATGTTTCTTTTTTTGGGTTTCCCAGGAATGCAAGTATTGCATTCCAGTGGCATATATAGATTTAGAGAAATGCTGTCTTTCAGATTTTGCAGAATTTTTTTTTTTTTTTGGTTTTTCTGTCAAGGAGACTCAGAAATGCTCAGAGGATTCATGAAACAGAAAGGTACACAACAAAACTGCAACTTTGCTATAGTTCATCTGTAAGATGAATGGTCTTAATTAGGCAGCTTGAGGTGAGAACAAGTACAATTTTTTCTCCTCTGGTTAGTTAACCAGGGGTAGCTGAACCACGTTAGACCATGTGCCTTGATATTAAATTGACTGTCTAAAATTAGGCATTTTACATTCTATAGCTTGAGGACTGGGTTTCAGTAGCTGTGGCATTCATCAAGTAGACATCAGGCGTGTAGGAACTCTGTGGCAGTGAGTAATATTGCCTTGTGCATTTCTCACATGTTGTATATTGTATGTAATTTTAAAATACAGTTTCATGGATAAAAGATGTGTTTCATGTTTTACTTTATTGTTGTTATGGCTATTTTCTTTAGTGTTTGTCGGTCTAGTGTATGTAAACTTGGAGTTAAACAAGCTTGTAGCCTAAGTGCAAGTAATGGCATCAGGAAACGTGCAGTTTCTTAATTAGTAACTTTGTCTGATGTGGTGTTTCATGTTATTCTAATGTTTATTTTGTTTAATTTCTTGTAGGCTCTATGTTGAAGATGGCATCATGCCTTTACGAATGCCTTTGTGAAGCAGAACTTGAAAAATACTATCCCCACTTGGCTGCCTTTGGTGTTGAGACAATTGATGAGCTTGCCGAGGTTGCCCTGGAAGATTACTCCAAACTGGGGGTCCATGACATAAATGACCGCAAACGTCTTTTCCACCTCATTAGAATAATCAAATACACACAAGAAGAAGGCGCTGCAAACTTAAGCAAGCAGGATTTTCAACCACATGGCCTTTTCATTCAGCCTCAGGTGACCAAGTCAGGACCCTGCAGACAGCTGCGTTTCGAGTCCTTTTGTGGAGAAAATGATGGAACAGTTAAAGACTCTGAACCAGAGTTGTATCAGTCATCTGATTTCAGTGCCAGTCAAGAGAAGGACAGTGTGGGGGAAATGCTGGGACACATCCCACCACACAATCCAGAACCGATCAGATTAACTAGAAGAGACCTAAATATTGCTGGAATAGGTACAAAAAATGACCTGAGCTGTCCAACAGTTTCTGATGATATTGCTCCTCTCCTGGGCGATTCTGAAGTTCCTATTGTACAAAGAGTAACTCATATTTCAGGGTATAATTATGGACTACCTCATTCCTGTATCAGGTAATAATCACTCACCTTTATTTTGCTAATACTTCAGGTTAGTCATAATTGATTCTTTCTTAATTGTGGAGCAGAATCTGTGTTCCTCACCTCCAAATAAGCAATCCAAGCACTACAGAGCAATGCAAAGTCTTACAGGCAAGAAAGATATTAATAGGCATTTCCAACTCTCTGAGTCTTATAGAAGGAATCATCTGAATTTGACCAGCTGCTACTCACCAAGGTTGTCTAAGAATAGTCTTTATTGTCTTTCAGGATTTAAGGCTTTCTTTTCTTGGTATTTGAGCCAATCTTTGTCTTTCCATGGGACTATTTTTTTAAAACATTATTTTTCCAAAATACAGAATTGCCTGTTGTTAAATTTGTCAAGCTTTTCTTGGTAAAAAGGATACAAGCTTTGATGGCTATATTTGTTTATAAAGAAATTTATGAACTGAAGATTTAAAAGGAAGCAAAATGAATGCAGCTGGGAAGGGTTACAGACCTGGTGGTGAGAGGGATGCCTTGCAGCTGCTCCCTAGGCATGTGATCTGTAACTTCCATACTTTTCCCAGTGTTTGGTACTGAAGGGGCTGGGGTTATCATGAACCACTGGTAAATCTACCCTGGCAACATTTTTAAAGCAGTAAATATTTTTTTCCTGATTCACCACAGGCACGTACACCCCATCCCGCATAATACCAGTATCTAGCTTTTGCAATGCAGTCATGGTAGTTAATATGCAATGAAAAGAGGTAGTTTTATGAAGTTAGGTCTGGTCTGGGAAGGTTGTGGAGAAAGATTTGGTACAGGGAATGATCCATGGAGTTGAGGTGTCAATTACAGCTCCCACCTGGAGTGCATGTAGTCTGGAGGGATAGATGCTGCTGCCACGGTGGAAAAGTACTAAGCTGACACAGTAAGTAGAGCACTTAACTGAAAGGCAAGACAGGTTTATAACTCTCCTTAGCTGGAAAAAAAATTCATTCCCATCTTCTGGAGAATATATATTCCAATATATATTGACATCTGGGTGTATTCTCTGTCTCTTCTGGAAGATGAGCCAATGTGCAACTAAAAGGACAGGATTTATAATCTTGGCAAATTAAAAAATGATACATTATTAAACCTAATGCCTCAAGTAAAGGAGTTAAAGATTTTTAATCCTGCAATAGAGACATGTGCTTCATTGTTCTCTCTTTCCTTGTTCTCTTTTGCAAACACATTCATCTGTATTAAGCATTATGGCTCATCTCGTGGGCTTTCTGCATCCTCCTCCTGAAATGCCTCAACTTAATTTTCTCGTGTTTGGAGAGTTGTGCATTTCAGGCAGGCTTGGAGCAGCATGCTTACACTCAGGTTTGATTCCTGTTTTGCAAATGCTTAACTGCTTTGCTGAATCCATCCATTCCCATGGCACCTTGGGATTTGACCGCTGTGAAGGCTCACCTAATCTATGAGGAATATTGGAAAACACAGATAATATTTCAGATAGCAGAAGGACAAAGAGCTCTTTTAATATGTTCAAATTTATTTTAAACTTGCCCACAGCAAATAACTTGATTATGCAAAGACATAATTGTCCTTCTGACCTATTATTCAGTTAGATTTCTGATGATCTGTGTCATGACTGCTGTTTGACTTTTTTTCCTAGTAATGAAACATTGTTTTATTGTAAAATACAATTTATATTTTAAAAGAGTTAGTAAGAAATACAAACTTTGGGTTCAGCATATAGAATTAATGTGCATTCTATTCCCATGCAAAATAAACTCAACAAAAATGTTCCTCTGTACTAGAAAAAAATTATTCCTTTTTTCTTATTACTGAATCTCTAAATTTTCGGGGTTTTTTTTCTCCAAATACTGCAATCCTTTCTGCTTCAAGCTCTTAGAGCACAACAGGCTCTTGCTGCAGGTCACCAATTATGCCCTCTGGCACCAGAATTAAACTTCAGAGCTTCTGATCATTTGTTGGATAACATTTGGTGCCTAGTGATATGCATAAGCTCACACCAGCTTATGGAGCATCTTATTTCAAGTGTCATTGCTTTTCTTTTCCGACAAAAGAATTTTCCATCTAAATGCACAGCCTGATCCTGGACTGCACGGGAAAGCTGTACTAAAATTAAAGGGAGTCTAATGACAAATGAAGAATGCTCGTGTGGGGTCTTCAAAGACATATCTTGAGATTTAAATGTGCATCTCATGTGCTTCTGGGGAATCATGGAGCACAACAGCAATGATACCACAAGCATGTGGATGTTAATGAGATGTTGAGTAGCTTGTGGGTTACAGTTTGTTAGACAACTGGTATATATGAGTTTTCAGCTGCTACGCTAAGAGATTTTGGCATCTGGACAGTGTGGCAGAAACACTGCTTTTGGGCAAGTTGGGGCTTGATTATTTGAAATGCAAATCCAGGCTGAAAATTGTTACTGATTTGGCTGAAGACAGCTTGAAGAAGGGAGAGATATATTGAATACACTTTGGTTAATTCAAACCTATTCTGTTCACAAAATGCTGTACGCAGCAGGTTAATCAATGAAACATGAAATCACCTCCTGTGTATGAGGTGTCTGGAAGGGGACTAAAGTAAAATTGCTGAAACATCAGAGCACAACTTTGTTTATGGTCTAAAACCACATAACCCTTTTATGAAAAAAGACCAAAGGGGAGACAAGGATGAGATCAGTATTTTTCTTTTTTGAGCTAAATAGGAACATGGTGATACTATCTGATTTGCCAGTTTGAGTCATTTACTTGTAACCAGTTGGACAGTCTATAATGGGAAGAAAAGAGTCCAACGTGAGAGGAAGAGCAGCTAAGTATTGTATCTTTTCCTTTTCAAGATCAATTCATATTTTCGTTGTACATGATTAAGTGATTAATCATGAGTGCAAATAATTGCACAAGATTAAATTTCATTTCATTAACTTGGATATTATGTCAGCTTCCATCTCATGTTTGTGTACAACTGAAAATATGTCAGTCCAGCAGCAAGTACAGGAGTGTAGCTGTACAAACATAACTATTCCTTTAACAGAAATGTACAGGAAGCATCAGTCTGTTAAGGAAAAATAATCAGAAACTGCATCATGTAAAAATGAGATGTGTTATGGAGTTTTTTGATAGGCATTAAGAGCAGAAACATTCTGTGGTAAATGTAACAAATTCAGGCGTATTTTAGATTCTGTTGTAACTTGATTTTAAAATGTTGTAGATCCATTACTCCATTATTGTTGTAGATCCAATACTTTCGACAAAGAGACTCCATGGACAGAGAGTGACAAAATCAGAGTGTGTGTCCGAAAACGTCCTCTCTGCCTGAGGGAGGAGAGACGTGGGGAGGCAAATATAATCACAGTGAAAGATCAGGAAACCCTACTTCTGCACGAGAGGAAGGAGGCAGTTGATCTTACACAATACATTTTACAGGTAACATTCTCCATTGAAGGTTGTGTTTATGGGCCAGTCACTTGCATGGAAGGGTAAAGCTGGAGTTTCCATGAGGGAAACCAGAAAAGGGCTATTAGTATTTGTTAAACTGAAATGGGTGGTGGGCTTTTGATTTAGCTCAGAGTTGCCTATATTTGAGTTGCTTCTGATTTATGCCAGACTGTGCCAGCAAAACTGAGCCCAGAATTTTAAGGTCTAGAAGTATGTCTCTTGGAACTTTGTATGTGGCAAAATAAGCCCTCTGCTACATGCCATTGCTGAAGGAGAAGTGCCTGCGGATGGCTTTCCAGGTACTTCAGTGAGGAGTTCCCTTTCACTGTTTAAGCACTGTAGGTCTCTTTCAATGAATCATACATACCCTCATCCCCTCCCTTCCATTTTTCACAAATGCTTTTGAAAATGAAGTTCCCTTTTGTCTTTGTCTCTTAATCCCAAATACTTTGTGCTGTCATAGTTCAAATTCTCACTTGTGACTGACAGACAGCACCAGGAACAGAACTGATTGGTAGAGGCAGCAAGCTATTCTCACTCTGCTGAGTGTTATTTTTACAATCTGGGCCCTAGTAACAACTGTTTGAAGTATCTGGTAAAATTTCAGATCTCTCTCAGGCCCAGTTCACGTGCCACCTTTTACAGCGGGACACATGCTGAATCATTTCCACAGACCCTGCTTCTTTGAGTCTGATCTGGAGTGTGGGAAGTTTTGATTTTCTTGCTCCCTTTTGAGTTCAGACAATGTCGCTTTGCTTAGGAGCAGCTTCTTTCTTCTCTGGCACAAAACTTTTTAAGAACAGAGGCAATTAATCACAACTAAGTCACAAGTGAGAACTAATTTTGAGAGAGTCAAGAGTTGACTCTCAGTTCTTTTTACTGTTACAGTCTGACAGTACCTCTGTAGACTGATTCATTTCATGAATAGGTTTTCTTTAATTAGCTTTTTTTTGTTTCTTGTTAAAAGGCTCTGGCGTGTTATGCTTCAGAGTGACGGGAAATTGAGGCATTTTTGTTTTCTTTTTTTTCCCCCTACCCTGAATCTCTTGACTGGTGTGTTCCTACATGATTTGTGCTGCATATTAAGTGTGCTAGATCACTCTCTACCTAATCCAAAGCTGTATGAAGTCACTGGAAAGACTTTCATTATTTTATTTTACCTTTGAATGGAGTTGGAGGGGAAGTGAAACATATTCATGCTCATATAAAGATTATCTTTGTTTTTTAGCATGTTTTTTGTTTTGATGAAGTCTTCGAGGAGTCATGTACCAACCAGGATGTGTACATGAAGACAGCTTATCCTCTCATTCAGCATATTTTTAACGGGTAGGGCATCAGTGCTTACATTGGTTATTTTTTGTTTTGTTGTTTTCCAGTTTTATGTCTATGCCTGAATTTTCCTTTATGCGTTTCATCTTTTGAAATGTACCTCCATTTCACGTTTGCCACATGCCTTCCCCCTTTCAGATGCAATTTTGACAAAAGTAAATCAAGGAAAACTTTCTTCACGCTAAGTGACAAATCCCAATTACAGAAGGTGGTTAAATTGAACTCAATTGCAACAACGTGACAGCATGGTCAGGCTAGAATAAAAACACGTGCCCCAGGATTTCTGAGCTCTCATGTTCACTCTAACAAAGGCTCCTGTGTGGCAGAGCACACTCATCAGTAGAGAAATAGTGTTACCTCTTTCCTGAGACTACTGAGAAATATTTTTACATGTATTTGTACAGTTCACAAGGTAATAGAAATTATGAATAACCTTGTGATTTATTTTTGTTGATTTATATTTGCTTAGAGGTTTAATTGTAATTACATACTTCCTGATTAATGGGAAATTTATGGTGGCTTTACATGAGGCATCTTATTGCTATGCAAGGTTATATATATATATATTGAATATATACTTGAATATAATTACTTTGAGTCTTTGAAGGAAAATATGACATATCCATATTGAAAATTAACAAAATGGAGCATTCTGTTACTGAAAATCTCCAAGTGTCATCAACAGAGACCGAGTATCATGCTCTTGAGAAAAGGAAAGTGAGAACAGAGAATGAGGCTTGTATCTTGCTGTGCCGTAATCACTAAAGCCACAATTCTGCTGGTCCAGTAATGCCACCATTAGAAGAAATTATGTTATTTTTTTCCCAGCTTTCCCCTTACTTTTCCATCCCTCCTGCCAGCATTCATTTAATCTGACACCATGGTGAGGCCAGTCTGCAATCTAAACTGGCAAGAAATTGTTTGCTGTGATTATTGCAGCCCTACATTTTTACCCATTCCTCTGCCAGGAGTACTGAGCAAGGTGCAAAATCTTTTTTTTTAAAAGGGGCAGGGAAAGGAAAGGAAAAGAAAGGAAGAGAGCCAGCATCTTGTGCTACATCAGATCTCTACTTGGAAATCATTGTTAAGCATCCTGCATTTTCCCAGAGAGGGCAGCAGACCAAACCTCATTGCTAAGGGGCTGCTATAGATAGATACCAGCATTGCAGAATATTATTTAATAGATATGAATGAATCAGATGTCTCACTGAACACATATGCTGTCTTCACAGAGGCAATGCAACTTGCTTTGCGTACGGGCAGACTGGTGCTGGCAAGACTTACACCATGATAGGGAATCACCGGACCCCAGGACTCTATGCCCTGGCTGCCCAGGACATCTTTAGGTACCTGGAAGCATCACCATCCAGGAAAGAGCAGGTGGTTCTGATCAGTTTTTATGAGATCTACTGTGGACACCTTTATGATCTGCTAAATGGAAGGCAAAGGTATGATTTCCTACAAGCCTGTGGTTGTGAATCATTTGGTTATTGTTTGGAAATCATTTCCTGTTTTCATGTGATTACATTTAACATACTAGCATTTATAGTAAATGTTATATATTTAATTAGGGTTGTTCACAGGAGATACTTGGGGAGAATAGCAAGTTCTGACAGTAGATACTGTGACATTGATAGGGACTTCTGGTTTGTTGTTTTGGGGAAAAATAAGGACTTAGGTTTGAGATACAAGCTCAGGCTCTTGCTTACACTGTAATAAGATAATAGCTGAACATCCATGGGAAGAGAAACTAGCTTCTTGTGGCCAGAAGTTCCTGTCTTAAAATCATAGAACATTTTGAGAAGGAACCTTAAAGATCATCTTGTTCCCCCCCTGCTGCTCTGGTCAGGGACAACTTCCACTAGACCAGGTTGCTCCAAGCCCCATCCAACCTGGCCTTGAACATTTTTGGGCGTTGGACATCCACAACTTGTTTGGACAGCCTGTCATGTGTCAACCATTGTGGAGTCCTTGTCTTTCCCTGGTCAAGCATAAACTGTGGCTGTCCCTCCTGCTGTGCCAGTGGAGATTTGGCTCTTGCCAGTCCAGTCTCTGAAGATCCTGTTGATCTCCTAAGTGCTGGACTCTGCAGAGCCAGCTCTCCTTCTCCCTGGGCATCTTTGCTTGGCAGCCCAGTGACTCAGCCCAGCAAGCCTCTGGAGGTGGTGCTGAAATATGACTCTAAGGCCGTAGGAGCTGCTTTAAAATCCTGTGCAAAAGTCCTTAGAATATGAACAGAAAACAACTTACAGTTTGAGGACTTAGAGGAGCCTGAGAAGTAGTTTAAAGGGAGACAGGAGCTCTAACATGTAAACATGGTAATTTACTTCCCTGCTTTATTGTATTCTTGAACTAGCAGAAATGCATTGGTAATGTCTCTTTAGCAGTGAAATGTCAGTGATACTTGTCATAAATTAAGTACCTCTTCAGCTCTGGAAATAAATTAATGATAGCAGGGCCTCTCCCCTGTCAGTAGCCCTGATTGCATTTTCTCAGTGTCATGGCACGGACGTGTGTTTTCATTGCTGGTTTCTAAGATTTCAGAGATCTTCTTTTTTACATTGTTCTCTTGTCAGGCTTTTTGCAAGAGAAGATGGCAAGCACGTCGTTCAGATAGTTGGACTGAGGGAGGTTCAGGTGGATTCTGTAGATGAGCTGTTGGAGGTAATGTTTGGGATTTGTTCTTTGTCTTCTGCAGCCCAATTTGCTTATTTGTGAGGTGTGTCACAGAGATTATTTACTGTGTAGCACAAGTGTATGTTCCTGTTTAAGGCCCTGAAATTGGCAACCCCAGCGAGGCACCAAGGGGCTCTATTAAAAATGTCTTTATTCATGAAGCTGTTTCTTGTGTTAGCCACATGCTAACAAGCTGTCACTTCTGCTGCCGTTCCATAGGGAAAGATTCCAGAAGTTAAATAGTGTCCCAGTAAGGGACCTTGAAAGCTGGATATGTATTTTCTCCCAGTGTGGTGTCTTGTGGGTCTATGAACTTAGGTTTTTGTATATAAAAGATATGTGGTTTTTGCACAGAATATATAAATTTGAAAATTATTAGAAACAGACATTAGAAAATACTTAAGATTGAGATATTTTGTCTGAATTAGGATTAAAATGCTGCTTATGTGTGTGCATGATAACATCCAAGTAAAATTAAGATTTTTAAACAGTAGCTTAAACATTTTTAAACATTCACCAAGAACAAGGCTTCAGTTTTCTTCCCTACCTGGCTGAACTCTAAAAGGACACTGGCAAATTTTCTGTATTGTCTTGCAGCAAGCAAGCTGATTAAATCTACTTTCTATTTAGCCTGACTTTGCATAACTTAATTCTTTTTTTTATTTTCATAAGGTAGTGTCAATTACAAGTGCCTGATACTGTAACTGGCTCATTAAAATTGTCATAGTGTTGTCCACTGATATTGCACTCAATTTAGTTGTTCATCTTCCCATTAACTCCAAGCTTCAGGATACTTCCATTAACTCCAAGCTGGTGATACTTCTGCAAGTTAGGGTGCAAATTTACTACATGGTTGATTTGCAATTCCTTGGTATTATCACATCCCACACACAGAAGAGCTATTAAATTACTTAATTTTTACACATATCCTGAGGGGGAAAAATACTTTGTTCACAGGCCCTTTTGAACACAGAAATCTCTGAGTCACTGGCTTGACTCAGAACTTCTGAGTATTCTGCAACAGATATATGGAAATATATCATATGGAGCTTTGAATGCATCCCTGGTTAGTCACTACTCATTGATGTTGGCTTTGATTCAGAAATTGTCTTCACGTAGCACTCATATAAAGCTCAGAAGCTGCAGTGGGTGGTTTTGTTGCTCATTGAGAACTGGCCACTGAAAAGCATGAATAATTCACATCTATCAGCTGAGAATGTATTGATTTTGCTGGGCAATATTTTGATTTGTTCTTGCAGCTAGAAGCAAAATTAATGGCTTTTCTATGAATGCCCTGCTGCAGTCAATGTTAGACTTTCTGCAACAGTCCTTAAAAGTTTTCAAAAAAGAATTATCCAGATTTGTATCTTGAAGGAGCCTTTATCCTCCTGCCTTGCCTTCCTTCCTTGTTTTCTTGTTTCACTGTTTTGTTGAGAATAATTAATCTTTTAGTTTGTTCCTTACTCTGGCATAATTTTTTTTTTTTTAGTTTTGGAAATATAGAAAGGTTTTGGCAGTTCATAAATTTGTATGTGACTTTCTGGATAACTGTACTCATCTACTACATAAGAAAGTAAAATTTTAAAAGAACACAAAAAATAGTCAAACTCATAAGTCTCTTAGATTGTATCTGTAGTACTAGAAAAGTATGCCAGCAATATAAGAAAGAATTTCATTTTATAATTTTAATATTTTGCAAATACAAGTGAGTGTGTGCAACAGATTGTTACTAGCTGTGCAACTCTTTAAGCAGTGTAGCTCTTTAAGCTCTGTAGTGTCACTACAAACAAGTCCATGCACAAAGCTCTGAAAGAAATATTGGAAGGGATCCAGTCTACCTCTACTGCCTTCCACCAAATCTTAAGGCTGTAGTGCACCTTCCCTCACAATGTTTCCTCACCTTAGGAGGACAAGATGTCTTTCTCAGAGATTGTGGTTTTATTTACAATTCATTTGGATTTTGTCCCCCTTATTTTGCAGGTGATTTTGAAGGGAGGAAAAGAACGTAGCACAGGAGTTACTGCTGTCAACTCAGATTCCTCTCGGTCTCATGCTATCATCCAAATTCAAATTAAAGACACAAGCAACAGGGCATTTGGGAGGTAAGACTGGAAGCAGAAGTGTTCAGTGCTGATGTCAAGCCCAGGGACATCCAAGAGACAAAGAGGAGGTGTTAGTGCGCAAGTGTGAGTTAAATTAGAAGACGGGGTTAAAAGAGACTACAAAAAGTTCCACAGTCCTTTCTCTGTTTCCAAGGAGAATGTTTTAGGCACATCTGCAAGAGCTTTGTCAAAATTGTTCATAAAAATTTCCAGTGAAGGAGTTTGACAATCAAATCCATCCCCTCATCTTCAGTGTTTAATTTGGCTAAAGGTAGACACCTGCAGTGTACTTACCCACATGTGAACTCACCACCTTTGAAGTCAGTAGAATGAAGTTGCCATTTCTGAGATCCCTGCAGTAAATTATGTCAGGTGCATTTGCCCCTCAAAGCATTTCTGTCCTGTAATTGACTACAAAGGGAGTGTGGGATGACCAGCCCAGGTGGAGATAATTCCACAACAAATGTTTGCCTTTGGCCAGAAGAATCAGAGTACCTCACATAAACATCCATGATAATTTGAGTGTGTGACTCTGATGCTATCTGCAGCAGACAGAAAGAGCAGTTTACTTGCACTTGTGGCACCCACTTTATGTATTCAAAAATGAATTGTACCTCTTTCAGTCATCTTTTCTCCATAGTAAACAACCTCAAGAAATAGGTCTGAGGAAGAATGTCTGTGCATCTGCATTACTGCCAAGTATCACAAAATCCTGCTAACACCTCCTTCCATTAGCTACCACACTGTCTTCTTTCCCAGGATCTAATTTTGAGCATAAGACAAAATGGGGGGGCCACAAACACTGAAGAGAGCAAAAGATAGAACAGGCAGGCTTAGAAATAAAAGTATAGAGGTTTATGTAGGTGTGGCATTTGAACTGGGGGGGGGGTTGTGTGTCTGAAAGGGAGGTGGAGCTGAACTGAGGGAAGGGTGCCAAGATGTGCCGATAAAAAATGTCAGGGGTGTTACAGAAAAAGAGAAAGGACAAAGACAAAGATACAGTGCCACAGTCAGTACAGCAGCTGGCACCCAGAGCTGGGGAGTGTGAAAGGGAGTAATGGAGTTCTGTGGAAAGAAACAGCAGGGATCACTGAAAGCTCAGTGTATTGCTACACTGGAAATTTCTGTTGTCCTGAATTTCCATCTGACATGGCAGTTGTCTGTTTTACCTGGAAGGACAAATCAAAACATTTACAATTTCTTGTAGCCCTGTTCTTAGGAAACTACACACACAGTGATTATCTGGAAAGATGAATGTGTTGTACTTTACAGAGCTTATCCATTAAACTGTGGAGCACTGTCATCGCATGTAACTACACTTTATATTATTTAATGTTAAGATGCTCTGACACGGTTCCTGCTCCTATGCTTATTTTGGTATCTCAGATATTTCCAATGGATGTTTCCTGTTGTTCAAAAGTAGTTATTTCTAATCACTGTTCTAATGCCTTGTGTTTCAGCCTGCTGGTTTAATAAAGAAAAAAAGAAGAGGGGAGAAAAGCCCCTAAGATAAATGCAACTTTGTTTTTTCTAGGATATCATTCATTGACTTGGCTGGCAGTGAAAGAGCAGCTGATGCCAAAGAAAAGGATCGACAAACAAAAATGGAAGGAGCAGAAATAAACCAAAGTCTTTTGGCAGTAAGCTACTATTATGTCTGGGGAAAGTTTTGTATTTAATTACTAGCATGTATTTTAGGATAAAAATGAACCACAGAATAATGTATGCATGTATTCCATGGAGAGGAAAAAATAACCAAGGTACTAAGTGTGTTCAGTTTAATACGTCTCATGACTGAAAAACAATTTAAGAAGGAAGAGATATCCTTATAAAAATTAAGTATTTTTAATCTGTTCTTACTGCCAGGCAGGCAAACATAGCATGGACAATGTTAGGTGTAGTATAAGTGTCCCACATTTAATATAGAAGGTATTGGCCCTTCTAAAGAATACTGGCTTGGAATTGCCATGTTTGTTTAATGAAAGCATATCTGTTCCTGCCAGTTATTTTTACCACTTAGGCTTCTCTTTCAAATCAGGAATAAAGTACTTAAGAGCATAAAAACGATCAATTTATGTGTGGGGAGAAAGGAACAAGAAGAAATGCACTCCTGAGGCAAAGTGTCTTTTTAAGTGTCCTTAGTCAGGCAAAGAGGGACAAAGGAGCAGAAAAATGCCATCTAAGATAAAGCAGAAGTGCCTAAAAGTGTAAATGCTGCAGAAAGGTTTACACCTTCTCTAATGCAAACAAGCAGGGCTCCGTGGTGACTGGGGGCTTCTCTAAGCCAGGCTGAAGGTGATTTAGGTTCCAGGGTAGGAGCCAGCAGAGCAGAAGTCTGCACACAGCTGTACCTCTTAGTGTGTTGTAAATAGGAGGTAGCTTGCTCTGCTTTGGGAATGTAGATGCTCTTTTGCACAGAGGCTCTTCCTGCACTGGAATATTAGTATTTGTGCTGGGGAGGTAGCCTGAGAAGTGAATGTGTTTCTGTACTTCATGCTTTCTTGAGTACTTGCTGGTGAGTAACTGAGTGTCATGGGGAGTTGGTACCTCTATAGAAAGAAGTCTGATCTTGAAGGTCTGCTCCAGCCTAAACAATTGTGTGATTCCTGAGAATCCTAAGCCCATGAAATTCTTTTAAAAGAAACTGTAAAATCAGAGTCTGTACATTTTTGGTATTGTGTGAAGCTAAGAAGATACCTGGACAATCAACAAGTAGTGACTGAATTAAATATAAAAAACAGCTTTGGGTAAATCTTTGTAACCTGCAACCTGTAAAACCTAGCTCTGGCCTCAATGATCATAACACTCTGTTCAGACCTTTTAACCCATGAAATCTCAAGTCTGCTGCTGGTTGGAATATTCATGTTTTCAAGTGGAAGACTTTCAGACACTGCAACTATGAGAGCCAAACTAAAGAATTACAATAGTTTAATCTCTTACTTGTTACAGGTGCAGTTTTTGATAAAATGCTGTGAAAGTGAGAATAAGTGTCATTTTCAGTGGGAGTTTGTAAAATGTAGAAAGGCTGTAAATGCTTGATGGCAGTATCACCATGACAATACAGTAATCTGCTATCTTGAGAAGAAAGAAAATAAGAGAGGTAGCTCAAAAAGCTCTGTCCTTTGGGTACACCTGCCCTGCAAGCTGCAGCATAGTCTAGGCTACACCCAGTCTGGCTTCAGACTAGCTAGATATAGTGCAGGCAGCAGCTCTGTGGGGCTCCATGTGTGCTCAATGTGTGTGCTTGCTCCTTGCATCTGGTGCTGCCCACGGGGCCATCAGGCAGGGCACAAATTGACCTTGCAAGGGACAGCACATAGTAGGAGTCAAAGTGACACAGGACCTGGGTAGGCTTGGTTTGATTTTGTTCAGATCCTTGCCAGTGCATGACTGATCTGTTTTCCTCTTCTGTTTTTTCCTTCTTTTGGTAGCTAAAGGAATGCATTCGGGCGTTGGATCAGGAACAAGTGCATACTCCTTTCCGGCAAAGCAAGTTAACTCTGGTAAGATGAGCAGAAAGCAAGAGGAGAGGTTTCCCTGCTGAGGACAAAAATAAGCAAAAAATCAAATAAATAAATAAATAAATAAATAAATAAATAAATAGATGGCATAGTTCAGTAACTTCTTCCTCTCTTGAGGAAGAGAGCAAATGCATAGCTTTTGTAAATTTTAATTTTAAAGGTAATCGCAGAATTAAAGTCAACTGCCGATTTCCTCCAGCCAACAGTGGGGACTGGCATGGGAAAAAAAGAAACAAGCCAAGAGCTGAAACCAAACAAAACCCCAAACACCACCGTCCAGACTCATACAGAGTTACCATCCATCTTCCCACAGTCTGAATACAATCCTGCATCTTCTATTCAATTGCTGTCCTTGGAGCTTTCATCAATAGTTCTTTACTTCAGTTGTAACTTTTGCTTTATTCCTTAAACCATATTGGCACCCTTGCAGAATCTGAAACTAGGGCTTGTTTAGAGCTCTAATTAATACCTGCATTCATTTTAAACTATAAATAAATAAAGGCAAGAAAAACTAAGACAAGAGGACTACATTTATCAAAAAAATTAAAAAGCCACTACCTCATGTTGAATTTCTTCTGTAGATGTTGTTCATTTACAGGATGTACAGGAGACATGAACTACTAAGAACCCAATTTCTTTTTCCTTCAAACTCTAGGTGCTGAAAGACTCTTTCATTGGCAATTCCAAGACATGTATGATAGCCAATGTTTCACCAAGCAACCTAGCTGCAGAGCACACCCTGAACACTCTGCGATATGCTGACAGGTAGGAGGTGAAGCTCAGTTCTTGCCAGGGTGAAAATCACAAAGTAAAAAGCAATGTGTGATGTTTGCCATTACATTTTATTATAGTTGAATTGAAAAGGTTGATTTAGGCAAGAAACAGAATCTTTAAAAAGCTAATAAAATAGTTTCTTTTTCCAACTCTTATGTTTTGTCTTAAATTTTTTGGGTCTTGTAAGTACTTTCTGATGGCTGCCTTCAGTGATGAAAATATCACTGTGTGCCCTGTAACTGCAGGATTACTGACCTTAGCAATCAAAAGTTTTGATTTAGTTTTGTATTTTGATTCTACTTAGAATGTGTCGCCCTCCCTCCTACAGAGCAGGAAGTAAATTACAAGCTGTGCAATGCTGGTCTTAAAAGGACAAGACACAGCTTGAGGGGCAAGAGGAGCAGAGGGAGGGAGCAGCTGAGGGTCAGGGTGGTAGGCAAAAGGGTGATACCAGTCAGTCATCTCTTCCAGCTGTACTGCTGAGTCTGATCCACGAGCAGACTCGCCTGAGCTATGAAGCCCCACTGCAACTACTTCAAAAGTCCTGCTTTGAGCCTTGTGGGACTCTGTGATGTGCTGTGTAGGACACTAGCTGGTTCTGCTGCATTATAATGTGTGGAAATGCACTTGCACTGAAACTGAGGTCATTTCCACTCACTTGACCCATTTTGCACTGCTCAAGGAAAAGCTTAAAAAGACTGCCATAGATTTTTCCAAAAGTCCAGGAATTTTAGCAGAAGGGTTTTGATACCTGTGAAGATCAGAGACAGAAAACAAACCACGATGTTGAATTCAATATTTAGTCTTAGTATGTGATAGCATTAGTTTGTTCTGAAGACGCTGTTATTTATCTGAAAGCCTGACATCTTCTAAATCCAGCCTCTTTTTTACAGGGTCAAAGAGCTGAGGAGAGGGATTAGATACCCTGCCCCTGTCACAAAAAGGCGTCGTAAAGCTGGAACTGTATCTCCAAGGCTTATCCCAGGCTCTCCCTTTTTGCCACCTGGGGAAAAGAGTTCTCCAAAGAAAGTGAAGCTAGGCCTACAGCATCCCTCAAGTGCTGCAAAACCAAAGGCATATCCTGCAACACTCCAGCCACCTGGTGTCCCTCTTACCTCTACCCCCAAGGGAACTGGCAAAGGACATGCCTACATAGAAGATACCAGCACTCCCTGCTTCCACCACACCACCCCAGTTAAGGGAGTCCTAGAAATAACACATCCCCTGAAGAAAAGTTACCTATCCCCCCTCCCTGAAAAGAGTTCCTCAGTGGAGGATTTCATTGCCAAAGAAGAGAGTGGCCAGCAAGACAAGTATATGCAAAACAGAACACCTGTCCAGTGCCTGAAAATTCAGACAGTGCAACCTCTTCAGAAACAATTTGTTCCTAATGACGATAATTCCTCTGGAGATGGCAATCTCCAAAGCGAACAGGAATGGGGAAATACTTTTGCTAAACAGTCTGTTGAACCGTGGACATATCTGCCTCCATATCAGAAGGAAAGGGAAGAGCATTTACGTCTTTATCACCAGCAGTTTCAGCAACCCCCTATTCTAAAGCAAAAATTGAACTATCAGCCCCTTGAAAGGTTTTTAATGCAGTACAAGCCTGAGGAGATTCAATTGAAGCAGGAGCTGAGCCTACCTCCAACTGAAGGGCAGAGCAAAGAGTGGATACAGCAGGAAGATCTGGATGACAGTGATTTCAGTGAAGATTCTTTCTCACCTGTCTGTAGTCAAAAGAGTGTGAAAAGAGAAAATAGCAGCAAATCCAGTCAACATTCATTTTTCCTTCATGAAAGAGAGCAAGGAACCGAAGAGGAGCAAAAAGGCCAAAAGCGGCAGGATTTATTTTTTAAATATTCAATACCCACGGAAGATCACAGATTAGATGACAGCTGGGATTGTAGTGAGGGCCGCTCAGCAGTAGAGGAACCCATTAAAAATGCAGGCTGCAGCAAAACTCCTGCAGACTGGAGCTATGACTTAGCTGAATTCCCTCCCAGCAATACTGCAGAAAAACCTTACTGTCTGCAGGAAGATCCTGCTTGCAGCTGGAGAAATGGCAAGGACTTCCTAGCTGATCACAAAGAGAACAAGTCCAAACACAAACGTCTTGTTTACTCCAGTGAAGCCACCTTAACTCCAGAAACAGATGCTTCAACCCCGTGTGTATCTCCTGTATTGAAATCAGGAACTCCAGAGTGCAAAGAGTTTGATCTCCAGCATGAGGAGAAGGAAGAATCCACGTTGGCTAAAAAGGCTACTCTTGTAGGAGGAGATGTAAATTGGAAAGCTCAAAAAAATGGAGTCAGCCACTACGTTTCCTCCAGTTGTTCCTCAGACTTCACCTCTGAGCTCATGACCCTGCCCCAGGTGTCATCTCTTGATGGTGAGGACACAACTAAAACAGAGAAAGCAACTTCCAACCAAGAGCAGCCCCACAGCGAGAAGCAGGTGCCAGACAGTGACACCCAGACCAGCTTTGAGGACGAGGGCTGGCAGTGCACCAGGAGCAGATCCATGACTGACAGCATGCTGGAACTGGCGGAGCAGCCCGGCCACGGGGAAAGGCTCTGTGCCCTGCTGGGCTCCTGTCAAGCCAAGAACAAGAACCTCCCACCCACCTGTGGCCGTGTGAAGCCGTGCTGCTGCCACCTGCGATCAGTTTTGTCCAAGCAGGGGGTCCGGCGCAGTTTGTTTCTTGAACGTGACCCGACAGAAACATCCACAGCTGGATCCCCAGCTGGATCCGCCGTCCCCGGGCCAGAGACCCCCTCTCAGGAGAGCAGCCGGCTGCAGCAGCCCAAGCCAGGAGCGAGGAATGAGGACCTCACCCATTTTGAAGACCCTGCCAAGTCATCGTTCAGCAATAAGGAGACAGGGTTGCTTAAAAACAAGTCAAAGCAGAGTATTTTTACACAGGAGACTTTTGCTGCAGATGCAGGATTTGCAACCAAAGATAATAAGCCAATAGTAAATGCAAAATGCCCCTCACAGCTGTCCAGCACCTGTTCTCCACGTGCTGCATCAGAGATGGGGAAACGGCAGAGGGAAGCCCTAGAAAAGGCACAGTAAGTCTTGCTTATCATGAAGTTTGTAGTGAAACTTAGGAAATCTGGACATGTGATACATTTGCGTTTTTTTGTATGTCATACTCCTATGTACTTAAAAAACCAATAGGTAATCATTCTATTAAATAATTATAAGATTCATCATAATTTACAGTAATTATCTTAAAAATATATGGTTGCTTTTATTTAGAGATATTTTAAAATCTCACAGGAAGCCAATTATTATATTGTTCTAGGATAATGCTAGAGGAATAACTATTATAATACAAACTGCATTAAATGGCTTACTATAAGCTGTAAAGTACCTAAAATATATCAAAACCTTCCATCAAGAATCAGGTTATAGCTGTTTCATCAATGAAAAGAAAAGCTGCTAGGGCAGCTGAACAGTCACTGAAGATGTAGATATAAAGCTTCTGAGTACTCTGAGCTGCCAATGTCAGCTCCCAGGGACTGGGCTGCATTCCCTTGACTGAAAATACATTTTTGGTCAGTGGAACTTGCTCAGAGGAATCAACACAGCACTGCCTTCCTGCTCAGCCTGTTTCTCACTGGAATTACTTACAGACTCATGGCCATAAACCATTTCACCTATTGATTAGACACAATAATTAGTTGTGCTCCTTGATTCTCCTACAGTGAAAAGCAGTTGTGTGCTGCCTGTGCTGAGGAGGGGCTGTGGTCACTCCTCTGTGAGCAGCCCTCAGTCACCCAGCTCATCCTGAAGCCCACACCAGTGCAGTCCAGTGCACTTCATGGAGCACTGGTGTGCCCTTCCTGAGTGCCAGGGACACAGGACAGCAAGGCTTCCTATGGGGTATTCCTCTTTTTGAAGGTTTATTGAGGCCAGCTGTGATTACAAGCAGTGATTACACTACAGGCTGTGTAACCAGTGTGTGTTTTTTGTTAATCAGAAAGGCTCTAATTCGTGCTCATCAGCAGCAGCTGGATGAACTGGCACACCTGTGCTTCAAAGAGGAGTGCTTGATAAATCAGATGTCAGCAATGGTAAGTGTTTCAAATTATGGTTTTGGTGGCCATTGAGCTTGCATAAATTAATCTTAGAGATTATTAACTTGAATTGGTGATGTGCTGCTCCTTGTCAGTTCAAGCCCTTCTCCAAGGCCTGTCTTAGTCCTGGGAGAGGCCTCTCATTTTCAGTGCCTGCTGTGGTTGCCACTCTCCACTCTGACAGGCCCTTGGGGAGCAGGAGATAGATGGGCCAACCCTGAAGCCCTTGTCTCTGATAAGAGAGCCTTCCCTTATCTCACATCAAGGGGCAGACTGTACCAGACAGGCCATCTGTCCCTGTGATGTTTTAGTTCTTACAGGCTGGGACAAGGAAGCCAACCCCACAGAACAGAGCCCACCCCTAGGGCAGGACACTGGTGGGATTTGGCTCTTCCCTCTGGAAGCCTCTTTGCCTCTCACACTGCAGGTGTGCCAACAGCCTGGGCCTGGCTTACTCCAGTGTTCTGACCACTGTGGCTTGTGCCTCACACACTCTTGGCTTTGGTTACTCAAGTGTTTCTTGGCTTGTCTTTGCCTCAGATGACAGTGGTGTACCCTAGACCTAAAAACTGGCACCTGCATGGTCCCACTGCTACCTAGGCAATCCCAGTTCTCTGTTTCTCCTGTATCCCAACAGATGCCTGTCACACCTATGTGAAAACCCAGACTATGAACATTTTCCAGTGAGAACTCCTGCCTTCCCAGTTCCCTCTGCTTCTCAGTAAAGCCAAGCTCCATTGCTGCATTGCATTATCAAACCATTTCAATTCCTGTCACAGTTCAGATCTGAAGTACAGGGGACTCTTCCCTCAGGGACTTTGGAGTGAGGCCACCATGTGGCTTATTCACTGTGACTTCAAGCTGCATATGCTGTTTTACAGATAACAAACAGGTCATAAAGCATCACAGGAGACATAAACTGTATTAGTTTTGTGGCAGACAATGCAGTGAAACAAAGCTATCTTTCATCTTCTTAATTTTTTTTCATCTTTGAGATTGTTCTTCTTAAGTCTGTTAGTCACTGAGCACCATCTCTCCCCCTGCATTTATTTGCCCCTTGTAGCAAGCAGTTATTTTCAGGCTAGCAGAATTTTTACAAGCTTGCCAGGCCTCCCAGCAGTGCCTGAATAACATACCCTGTAGTTTTATTTCACAGCATGACCTTTTTTGGGTAATGAAATGTGCTTGGGCTTCATGCATCAGCTTCTCTCCTTCCATTTGCAGATGGTTTCAACTTCTCCAGCCATGAAACTTTGTCTGCAGGAGAAGCTCCTGCCAAGATCAGACGCACACTGAACAAAGCAATATTTAAAGTGTTTAAGAAAAATATGCCACAGCAGCTGGGCTAGTCTTCATCGCTGTCCTGATTTCCCTGCAGGACAGAGATGCAGTGCAGGAGATACAGCTGGAGTACTGCCAAATAAGCTTTTGCATGATTGATTTTCATACACAGCAGCTGAATTTCCCAGCCCTGGGGAAGCTGACACCTCCCAGCTTCTCTGGCACAGACCTGTGAACAAAGGCACCAAACTACTCTCAGCTGGAGAGCCAAGCATGTCCAAGTACTCCCTTACTAATACAAGCCCTAGTTAAAAAAGGATGAAAACTCTAGTTTTAATCAAAGTTCCATACTGGTTTTTATCCATGTGGCTATGAAAGGTAGAGTTCCCTGGCCTGAGGCTGGGTACGGTGCTAGAATTGCTCATGGCAGACCTGCAGCCATGCCCCCTGACCTGATGGGACATAAATCCCTTGCATTTCTCAGGATTGGGCTATAATGTCTGATCCATAGTGGCCTAACTCACCATTTATTTTCATAATTGATAAATTCAACATGAGTGGTGTCAGGAACAGAGTTCAGTACATAGTAAAACTGGATGACCAGTCCCGGTACCAAACCTTTGAAAATCTAACCAGAGTAAAAGAGTGACAGCAGCTGCTTTATTTTTAAGCCACTACATGAGCTGCAATTTCACTAACAGATAAAACTACCAGAGTCAGTGAACCTTGGTATTTAGAGGCACTGACCTTTGTCTGTGAGGGCTGTGACTTAATAAGGAAATGCTGATTTAATCTACTAGTCTGCAGAACACTTTTACGTTCTGCTGCAGTGTAAGAAATACTCTGATTTTTTTCAACCTACTGATACTGTTCCCTACTGTTTCCTTGTGCTCTCCTTGCCAGGATTTTCAGAATTTCATGGCCACGCTGGATGAAATCTTGGTGCTGAAGTCAAAGTGTGTCCAAACAATGCGAGCCCAGCTTCAGCTGTGTTCAGCCTCCCCTGGCACTGACAAACCACTGCAAACACGTCCATCCATTTAGACCTTTGCTTGCACATGCACTGGAGCAGCTTCAGGAAACGCCAGCCAGCACTTTGCTACACCTGGTGCTGCAGAGTGTGGGTGGTAGGGGATAGGTTTTGGTTTGATATGTTTGTGACTAGCGTGTGTTTTATATAAGAGTGGAGTGAATTCTGAGTAAATGAGAGATGACTAATTAGCACCATAAGCTTTGTATTTCATTAATATCAGTAAACCACATTCTGAACAGTAACAATTCAGCAGCCTTTAAATATCTCACCAAGTAGCAGTCAAGTGGTGTTAATGTATCATAGCAGCGTCTCACATGTTAAAGGCAATCCTGCAATTCCCAAGTAAGGGAAACAACTTTGAAGCCAGATAAAGGTCAGAACAGAAATGCTCAAAAGCTACCCAGAAAAGCCTTTGCAAACAAAAGCCAGGAAAGAGAGAGGAGCCAGAGGTTGTTACACATTAAGTATTTGGATGTCAGGGCAGGCTGTGAAGTGCTGTCAGTTTCAGAAGAAGGAAACCTATTGTTGAATTAATGCTTGGGATGAACCCTCCAGAGCTCCTGAAAGAGGTGGCTTTAAGTTATGGGTAAGGAGTGGTTTAGCAGGGACTTCCTAGCAAAGATTCCAGCTGGCACGTTAATAAGCACATGGGTTTCATGCTGCTGCCCAGAGGAAGACGCCAGCAGCTGTACTGGCAGCACACCATATCCAGTGCCTGCTCTGAACAGAGCTGAACAGATTCCTCATATGAAAACGGGGTCTGCTTGGAGGCACTGGGCTTCCAGAAGCTGCTGACAGCACTGTCATGTGAAACTGGTATTTGAATCAAGGGCTGTGGAGCCATCAGCTGGAGCCCTGCAGAAGCCCTGGTGCTGCAAGCATTGCATCTGAACCAAAAAGCCAGTCCATTTGCTTTGAAGGCACCAGTGACCTCGAGACATGCTTGCTGTGTGTGTGCTCCCACTCCAAAATTAGGGCTGTCGCAGCACATTCATCCATCTCTGTGTCTCCTCAGTAGCGCCTGTGGTAGCTCATTCAAAGCCTGCTCAGTAGCCAGAAGTGCCAAGGGGAACGGAACACTGCTGTTTGACCAGCTGTGGGTTTTGCTGCCTGCCTGCACAGCCTCCCTGAGGAGCCCAGGTTGGGCTGAGCAGCAGGACAGTAATCACAGTGACACTCTGGGATGCATATTTGGTGCAAACACTCCCAGGAATGTCACCCAGCATAGGCCTGGGAAATAGAAGCGAATCCCGCATCGCTGCCCTGGCTGTTGTTTTTAGCACTGTTTAGTCTCCATCGTGCAGCTGAGACTGGATTCCTCTGTGGAGAAGAGAGCAGAGTTTCTCTGGGGTCTGAGGTTATGGCTCTCAAAACGGCTCCTGTGTCCTGGTCACAGACCAGCAGCAAGGCACGTGAACCTGGGTCAGGAGCCTCCCTCACTCACCCAGGGAGACGAGGCATCCCAGGAGCAAAACTCTGGGTATTTCTGCATGGCACAGAGCAGTGGTGCCTGACAGCCACCAGAGAGCTGTAAAGCAGTGGGAGATCAGCACCCTGCTAAAACCACAAGTGTTTAAAACCACCAATTCCCTCCACTTCCTGGGGTCAGGGAGGGCTTTCCTGTGAGTAAGGTGAGGGGAATACAGGGCAGCTGGGTAGTCCTCCTGATAGCATAAAATAGATGTGGGCACTTTCTCAGCAAGCATGCAGCAGACACTGCTGTCAGGGAGCAGCTGAGGAGTTTGGCAAGTCTATTTGAAACCAAAGAAAAGGTCAGACTCTAGGATGTGTGCACAGGTCACATGCAAATGTGATGCCCAGTCAGAAACGGTGCAAGGGAGGAAAATTTTCCCTCCACGTATTCTAACATTTGGGAAATGAGTGCTGGTTGATCACTCTTTCAGGTTTTTAAAAAGCATCTGAGCAAAGTATGTTCACTGGCATTTAGAGTGTCTTACAGAAGCTGGCTATTCCTAAGCAACACACAAGAATCATTTGCACAACCCACAGTGCCATGTCCTAACCTCAGAATCTGCAGGCACAGTTGTGATAAGACAGATGAGTGACCAAAAATTTCTGTGAGCAAAGGAGACGTGAGTTCAATCAGCTGCCAGATTGGAGCCACCTCTGAATCCCATCTGATCTATTGTGAAAAAAGCAAATCTGGCAGATCTGAGCCCCAGCAGCAGTTCCCAGTGCAGGAACTATCTGCTCCCTCGAGGAACAGCCAGGGACACTGAGAAACAACAAATAATCAAAACAACAACCACACACAATTTTCCAATGTCTGATACAATCTTTTTTTTTTTAATGGGTTATCCAGCCAATCCACATGACTATAACTTCTTAAATATTTTATTATATCTGTTCTCCAAATTTTATTTTCTCTACTGAAGGTGAGATTTGACCAAAATAAAATAAAGCTGGCTGTGAAAAGCAGCCCATACTTGACAGTAACATGGACATTGCTGCACACCCCAAAGATACCAACAATGGGTTCCTCATGTGCAACAGAAACTATCCAGCTGTTGTCATAAATGGTAACATTTTTCTCTCTCCTTTGAGGTTTATTACCTAGTTGCTGCTTTAATTTCTTGTGTGAAAATGTGCTAAATTAACACTTTAAGTATCATCCCCTTCCTACTGTTTGATATTTCACTGACAACTGCTACAAAAGGTTTTCACTTCAACTTGAACATACATTAAAGTGTCATAAAAGCAATCTAAGAGATTTAGAGAGCTTGGCCATGTACCATCAAATAAACACAGAACTAAAATGGATTCACTTTTGTATTTAGATGCAACAATGACTATTAATGCTTATTAGCAAAGGCTTGATACTTTATTTCAATAATTAACAGAATTTAAAATAAAATTCAGTTTGCTACAGAACTCTGGTGAAAATCATTTTAGGTAAACATCATCAAAATGTCCATTTAATTGACTGCAGAAGATTAAGTGGGGCTGGAAATCTGTAAAGGAATTTTCACAGGGCTTGTTGGTGTGGAAAGTTTCAGGAGCCCTGATCCACAGCTGGACTGACCATTCCTGGCCTGGAGAGCAGCCACAAAACGCTGTCAACACGGGCTCTGTGCTCCAGATCTGCAGCAGGAGCCACAAGGCCGGGCAAGAAAAGCCCTGGGGCACTGGGGCAGCCCGACTGCAGGATCAGGAGCCCTCGGCTGCCATGGGGTGAAGGGTGGCCCTGCAGCACCTGTCCAGAACCAGCAGAAGGCAGCCCAAAGATGCTCTCCTTGAAAGCACAACCACCAGTCCAGGCACTGCCTCTACACTTCTCACCAGCCTTTCCGCCCAGGCACACAGACCTCAGACAGAACCTCTGACAAAGGCACAGCAGGGACATAAATCAGTGTGACCTGACAGCCTAAGGAAAAGCTCCGAAGTCGTGAGTGTGACCGGGGATGCAGCCAATCTTCTCACCAGCCAGCAGCAGGGCAGAGCCCAGCCTTGCTCCAGCCAGCAGGACCTCCCCCAATGAACTGTGCCTGGACAGTACCAGATTAACAAGTGCTGCACAGCACCCTGAACACTGAACTCTGGTCACACACGGTCTCTTGTTACACATTCATTCAGCAGTTCCTCTTGTCTAAGCCACCCCCTTAACCCCTCACTCTGGTATTTTCTTCTCTGAGATGCCAACATAGCAATACCCTTCATGCCTTCAGCCACCCAAGGATTTAAATCCAGAAACATCACTGCCAAAGCAAGAGTGGTGTCACCAGGGTAGACTTGGGTGGGCATGGCTCTCTGAAATAAGACCTCGCATCTTCACAGCTGCCACTTCCTATCTTCACCTCCCCAAGAGCTCAAAAAGCAGAGTGATTATTCTGTGGGGTTAAAAGCCAGACCTTGGAGGGAAACTGTGAAAAAAAACAACTCACACACTAATACAATCATAGATTATTTTATTCAGAGGTTTGAACTAAATAGCTGTTTCTTTGCTGGCAAAGACTTCTTGCCCCTTCCAGACTGTCTGGTATCAGATGGGGACTTGCTGGGGTAGCAATTCTGAGAAAACCAGAACGAGCAACACAACCGAATGCTCTCAGCAGTGATGGCAAAGCAGTCTGAATTTTGTTTTCAACATTTTCCAAATAATCAGGAACCCCATTTCCTCACTTCACTGTTGCACTTCTCACCTGGGAAGGAAGAAAAGCTGGGCACTACCTGCACTCACAGAGGCAGCAGCTGCTGTCCTGCCAGCTGCTCAATGTCCTTTTTAGACAATCTGTATTTCAGCTCCACCACTAGAAAATGGTGCAAGTCAACACTACGGGGTATGTGCAAGGCAACCTGCCCTGCTCCTCCTCATCATCCCTGTCCACAGCTCCTAGATACTTGCCAGCAGATCCCCATTTTGCATCATTTTAAGTAAACATTTAATTCACACAGCTGGGCACCCCACAGAGAATTCCATGAGTGCACACTGGGCCCAAATTGGATGTTTTGGTCATAGAGAGTTAACAGCATAATGGAGACAAATGCCATCCCCTTTGGAGTCCTGATGAGCTGAAACCTCCTACTGAAAAACCTACACTGGTGCAATGGGCTGAGACATTTTGCCCTCCAGCAGTCCGATGCTCCAGTTCCAGGCTCTAACGTGAGTTTGGATCTCTAGGCTGGGGTTTTGCCACAAAACAGAAATAAGCCACAGAGAAGCAAAGCACCTTCTACCACTGCAGCTGCAGCCCAGAGACCTCTGGTGTTCACCCAACAGTGTTCACACATGCCCACAGGAGCTGGCAGCACCTGGGCGGGCAGGATCCAGCAAGGTCCCCGTCTGCTGAAGCCAAAGAGCATGAGAGATGGGAACCATGACACTGGGAGTTATATTGCAGGGTTTTATTAGTTGTTCTTCTGCAGAATCAAAATATTTAGCAAATTAGAGATTCCTCAAGACTGCTGATATTTCATGTATTTAGAACTTGATCAATGTACAATGTAACACTTTGAACTATCAAAAACAACCCCAAACCTGATTTGTAGTACT